GATAAAAAGAGGCTGGTAATAAGTAGGACGTAAACATGGAAACACATGGCTTTAGTGAAGTGCTCTCCAGTCAGATGTAGCTTGCAGGCCAGGCTTAATGCCCTGGTCTTGATTCTTAGTAGAAGTTTGTATAGGACCAGCCAAATAGTCCAGTGGTGGGAATGACTGTATGTGTGACTGTATGTATGGAATTCTACAGAGAAAGGTGTTGGTCACTTTAAATTCATAGTATCAGTCTTGTGTTAAAGTGAACCTTTAATGAGATCAGGTTGGTAATTTCAAAATGTGTCACGTTTTTATGTCTTAGCTGCTGGAAGGTACGGAAGTTCTTTGATATGGTAGCTTTTTTTTTTTTTCGGATATTTGCCAAAAATGAGATACCAGTTTTAGAGTGCAGGAGAGAATGGAGAGGGAATAATGCACCATTGTCAGTGTGTTAGTAGTACTTGTTTCTATAGCAATATGAAGATTTTCTACAAGTCATGTAACCAAGTGGCTTCTTCAGTTCTTTGGAGATGACTTTACCCATATTTCTGTGATCAGAACATGTTACTGCGTGCATTTAACATGAATATTTCCTTCTTGCAGCCTTTATTCTGTAGCTGTTTAATTGCAGCCCTGGCTGTGAATCACTGGAACTGGATTTTCTGAGTAATATCTCCAGTCTCTCCATTCTTACCATATACTGGGCAAAAGAAATCAGGTCTTGTGTAGGCTGTTTGTGCATGTGAAGTCAGCTGTTTGAAAGACCAGACCAAAGTTTAGACCATTAAAATGCAGTATTTTAAAAAATCTGTCATGTAGAAGGATTAGCATTCCAAAAATGACCATTTTTTTTTCTGTCTTTGTGGATAAATTTAGACAGCTAATTTTTTCAGTAGTTGGCTGGGAGGACATCCTCCCTCCCTCCTCTGGTTTCTGCTCAAAGCTGGGTTTTTCCCTTGTCTTTCAGAAACACTTTATGTGAAGGATGCGTTAAGAAAGGAGAAAAAAAAAATAAGGAAGGATTGAATATCATTTCAGAAGGGGAGAAAGAATCTTTAAAAAAATAAAATAATAATAATAAAATAGTATCCCACACTTGGCAGCCTGGTGCTTGCCCGCGTGCGACTGGCCGGGTGCCAGCCTTGGCAGGGCCGGCCGCCACGGCTTGCCAGAAGTCTTCCTCTCCTGGCCACGCTCCCCTCCATGAGACGGATGGCTCGTTCACCTGATGCTTCTGTTCCAGGGCTGCTGAGGTCCCAGCATCTTGGAGCTGATAAGAGCACTTTGTCTGTCCAAACTGTGCAATAGCCGTGATATCAAAGCAGGGCTGTTTCAGGGAGCTTTCGCTCTGTGTCGCTCCATATAACACTGAGATAACTGATGGCAGAAAGCCTTATTGCCATCTCCTTAGTGTGAAGCTGTCCCAAAAGTAGCTGCTGTAAATACAGAGATGATTTATTTCTTGCCTTTTTTGTTTTGGTTGAGGATTTCCCAACTTGGCTTTTAGTTTGCAATTTCAGTTCAGCATCTCGGAGATTTTAATTGAGAGTGATGAGTCTGAGTTGGGTTCTCTTGGAATTCTTTTTGTTTCTTTTTAAGATTTGCATTTAGTTTTCCAGTATCTCCTTTCTGTGTGACAGGTCTGCCCGGGCCGCTCAGTGAGCAGCTATCTGGAAGTGATATATTCTGCATTTTTGAGTAATCCTATCTTAATAGCATTTGGAAAATCTCTTGAATTGTGTTGACAAGGAAAACTTTTCATTTGAAGAAATCAGAGGGAAGGTGAAGCACAGAAGGTCAGAGAAACTACTGCTGTTATTTTTGCTCTGGTAAATTTGATTTGTGGCTTCTGGTATTCTTGACATGTCATTCTTTGAAGAGCTGCAGATTATTTGGTACTTTCACTCCCTGAAAGTAAATAATGAGGCGCTCTGGTCTAGTCGAGCCACTGCCATCTCTTCAGTAAGATCATGAAGCTGCGTAAGGGTCTGCTATTCCTTAGGTCTTGTTTTGGCTTCTTCCTTCCATGGCTGCACTCCAAGGTCTCTGAAATTTTCCATTATCTTGGTAGCTCCACGTGATGACAATTAAGTATTTCTTGCCCTTGTGGTTGTCAGCAAGGATTTGTTCTTTTTTTCTTGTGTACAGTCATCAGCCTTTGTGATTCAAGGCACTTTTGTACCTAGCTGATAAATTCCATCCCGAAATGTCAGCCCACCATTTCCTTATGTTTGTCTGATGTTCTTGTAGACTCAAGTCAACAAGTATTCAAATGTAATTCAGTTTTTTTTTGTTTTTTTTTTGGGGGTGAACTTTCATTTTCAATGTTTTGCTACAGATGTAGCAGCCCAAGTAGCAGGATTTGTGAGGGTGGGAGAGGGGGAGTAAGGCTGATGTTATGTAGTGAGGCTTCTGAGCGGGCCGTCTCAGGGACCTGGCATTTTAGGCAGATAGGACTTCATGTTGTTTGTTCTGTATCCTGTACACACAAAAGTTCTTGTCCTGCCCCTTCTAAGAAACAGGATGCCCGCATTGTCTCCAGGCTGAGAACTTTGCCAGCGTTAGCAGCAAGTGAGAAACAGGGCTGAGAGAAAAATGAGGTTGCTGAGCTTTTAAAAAATTATCTGTACAACGTTTTCAGCTGTTCTCGTTCAAATGACTGCCATTAAAACTATTCCTATGCTTTAGAAATCTGGTTCACTGATTACCTTGTTCACGTGAACTCAGATATCCTCGCTTTGTACTCCTGCAGACAGCAGTCAGCAGTTTTACGGAGAGATGCAGGGAATCCTATTTATACACCAGTCTGTTCCTGAATTGCAGAGGCACTAAGGCAGTATGGAAGTCTTTCCCAGGAATGAAATCATCTCGCTCTTTTTCTACTACGTTCACGTGGACACTTAGTGCAGCAGCCTTTGTTTTTTGCAAGTGTCTGCCCTGATGGGAACATGCAGTGCTGCTTTAGTAAATCTAGAACTTTATGGAGGCACGGGGACGTGTGCTGCTTCTTACTAGGGCTCTGAACTGGGAATGTTGCTACTGCACATTCACTCAGAACAGCAGTCTGTCTGCTAGCAAGGCACACTTTCTTGTTTGTTTGTTTAACTCTGTAGTAGCTGTCAGTGTGGTAGTGCTGTGTACCTGAATGTGCCTTACTGGGTGGTGTATGGGCATGCTTCTCTCCTTTTACACTGATGCAAATAACCATCAATATGAGACTTTACACCAATATGCTTTTTTATTTTTGTTGATGTGTGATGTAGGTGTTTTTTCCTTCTTCAGAGGAAATCAGGTATACCCGTGCTGTGCATTTTGTAGCAGTCTTCACTCCTGCTATGGGTTTTGGAAGTAGTTGTCCCTACCGAAAAATCTTCACTTTGACCTGTTGAGGTGTATTTGTGCTGCCTTCACCTGGTCTGCCAGTTTGGCTAGCAGGACATGCAGCACCACCTCCTGCAGGTTGAATTTCCTCTGCAGAATGTTTCCAGTGGTGATTGTAGAAGCCAGGTTGGTACTCGGATGCCAGCCTCAACTTGCAATATTGGCAGCTGGGGCTTCTTTTAAAAAGGGACCAGGGGGAAGTGCAAGATCAGTAGAAAACCATTTGGATTATAAATGCAGAATTGTCAGATGTGTGTCTTATGAGTCCGTTTGGGAGTGGGCACTGGCTTTTTGTAAGCAACACGTAGATCCTGATGCAGAGCTGTGAACCATTTTGATTTTTAATGAGCAGAGGAATTTAAGAGTTTTCTGGTTTGTTGTACCAGTTGAAGAAAATTTCCTCTCAGATATTTGTGCTTTGCCACATGGCAGATTTTTGGCAGTCAGGAAAGAAAGTTGCAGTGCAAAATTTCTTTTGTGGAATTATTAACAGTATCTCAAAACGTGTTTCCCTGCAGGCTGGGCTCTGTTGCTTCTGTGTTCATTCTGGGACATTAGCTTCTTTGGTCGTGTGCTTTTTGCTCAGATAGCTCAGTTTAAATGTCTTGTGGTGCTTTGCTTGGATCGTACTGGAGTTGTACTACTGAAATGCTGCTTTACGCTGTTATTATTGGTACTGTTTTTTAGCTAAGTTAGAAAGTGGAAAACAGTCACTTAATGCAAACCAGATTTCCTATCTGTGTTTGTTTACAGAGCCTCTGGCACACAGCTCGCATGGCTAAAGGGCCATACAAAGCTGCAATCAAAATGTTGTTGTTACATAAATATAATGCTGCCACTTCTTTTGATGTAACAATAGTGAGATTGTCTGGTGACGATTCTGCTCTTTGTTCATTTCTTCCAAGCCGAAATGCTTTCACAGAAAACAAATGTCTCAATAAATTTGCACCCCCCCCCCTTTTTTTTTTGTTTGTACTTTACGTATTTTGTTCTCCAAACCTGGAATTTGGGGATAAGGCAGAATTCTGTTACGCTCTTCAGAGAGAAATAGCAGCGCCTCTGATTGCACAGTATTTGATGTTTACCATCTGTACTTTATTAAACCTCATTCTGCATACATAAGCAACATTGGGATGCTACATTGGGGTTGACCTAACCATGTGTGCTATAGTATAGCAGTGCTTTATTGTACAAGTGTAATTAAGTTGTTTAAAGGAGGCTTATTTTCTTGCCAGTAAAGACCAATTTGAAGTACAAATGGGAAAGACAAGGAATGCTTAGAAAGACAATAAGTCAGTGCTCAAAAAAAAGCCACCAAGAAATCCCATAATTCTAGGGCTTTGGGATGGGGGAGCATTGAATTGTTTCCATTATCCTTATGTTGTTCTTCTTTTCAAAGCTGCATTATTTCAGTGGCTCATGTTATGAATTTCATCTGCAAAAAAGATATTTTCAGGCAACTGAAACGGGAAAAAAAATAGTCAGTTCTGTCAGTTTTAAAAGAATTGGTTCTTCTGCAGAGCTTCCCTAGAGCCCAGGCAATGAAGACGTAGGTTTGTGTAGATTGGGGTTTTTCCATAATACCATTCCCCTTACTTCACAGTAACTCACATCCCTTGCCTTCTTTCTTGCAGTGTGCCCCAGCTCATGTGGCAAGAGAGCCTGCACAGACCAGAACGAGTGTTGCCATCCTGAGTGCCTGGGGAGCTGCACAGCACCCGACAACAACACTGCTTGCGTGGCCTGTCGCAACTACTACTACGAAGGGGTCTGCATGCCCACCTGCCCTCCAAACACCTACAAGTTTGAGGGCTGGCGCTGCGTGACCAAGGAGTTCTGCTCCAAAGTCCCTGCCACTGAAACAAGTGAATACGAGAGGTTTGTGATTCACAACGATGAGTGCATGGCAGAGTGCCCTTCTGGATTCATACGCAATGGGAGCCAAAGGTAATGAAACTTTCTTAAGGTCCATCACAGTTAGCATGTTTATTCCCCCCTCCCTACTCTGTGGCAGCCTTGTGATGCAAGTTGCAGTTGGTGGAAGACGTGTTTTGGAATTTCATCACTTCCCAGTAAAGGCTTGCTCAGACATCATTTTAGAAGTCTAATTATGGCCTGTGCACATCAGTTCATGCTGCTTGTTCTGAAAGACTTCAGGTCAGAACAGTGCAAAACCAGGTTTTGAACAAAAGAAAGTGAGAGCCAAGGAAGACAGGGCTGGAGATAGGCAGATTACCATTGTCACACTTACAGAAACCTCAGAGCTGCTTTGTTTCACATGTTACTTGCTTTATGTATACTTACATTTTAGACATGTGTTCTTTGTAACTTTATTTCCTTTTTTTCACTCTTTCCAGAAAATAGCAGTGATGTTTTAGAAGAAACCAATCGTAAAGTTGGTTACAAAAATGATGCAGATAACATTATGCAGAATAAATTTCTGCAAGGATGTAACTCACCTCCACTTATTTCATTTTGACAGTTAGATTGATGTGTACTTAACACTTTCTTATTTTACGTGGGGTTAAGCTAACAGCCTCAGTTGCCTGCTGACCCAGACCTCCATAAGTAAGGGAAGGTGCTTCAGTGCTATACTAAATGGTTGCTATAAGATAGGGGTTTTTGGAAAGAGGTTGTGATGATACCTGCACTGGCTGTGTGTCTGTGCATGGCATTCATCTGTTCACTCAAGCAGCAAGGCAGTCCCTGGTTCACATTGGGTTGTAAGCAACTTAACACTGTGTTTGCTCAAAGCCCAATATTCACCTGAGAAATCTTTCACTTATCTACCTGAGGTTGTAGTCCCAGCTGTTTGAGCTGCTTACACTGAAGTGCATGACAGTTCTATCTTATCTCAGTGTAGCGCTCGGCTGCGGAGATTGAAAGGAGCTGTAACCCAAGGCCGGAGAATGTTTTCTTCCCCAGAGGTGATGTTAACAAATAGTTGCAAATGGAAAGCATTTCCTGCATTCTTTGTACATTTAGTTGAATGCCTTTTGCTTGTGTCTGTAGCTTTTAGTGGTTTGTAGCATGTTATAGTGCAGGATTTTGAAATAGGAACTTACAAGTAAGAAAAGGATGCTTTCTTCTTTATACTGTTTGCACACAAAAAATGGCTGCTATCAATTTACATGTTTCTTTAAGCCTTAGAAGAAAGTGGACTCAGTTTCTTTTTAAGGTAATAAATAATAAGTCTGTGCTCATCACTATTGGCATCAAAAGCTTTTGTCTTTGGAGCTCTTTCTTTTCCTTATTTTTTCCCTCTAAAGCAATAATGTAGGGTAAGTGATGATGAAATTCAATTTATTCCAATATTTTCATTAGTGAGATAAAAAACAAATTTGAATCAGGAAAGACGTGTACCAGGAGTGATCAGAAGGCATGTTTTTTCCACATGAGTTTAATGGCATAGTCTTTATGAAGCTGCAGTAGCCAAAGGCTAGGCTAGCCTGCGATCTTGTTCCTTGAGTTTGGCCTGTTAAAATGTTTATAGATGTCTGTAAGTATGAGAAGCAGACACATCAGCCTGACAGTCAGGTTTCTCTGAGTTAGGCTATGCCTGTCTTGATGTTTTTATGGTCACAGGTGTACCTATTCTTTCTTAATTTGTGTAATCCATTTTGGATCTGTTTAGACTTCTTGTCTGCCTCTCCCAGTCCTTGTTGCAGTGAGTTACACGAATTAGTTTTGTCTTGCATGAAGGTGCATCTTTTTGTTTGTTTGAACTTGCTACTTTAATACCTCTGACGCTATAAGAAACAGTGACTAATTCACTGCTCACTTTCTCCGTGTCACTCAGGACTTTATACGCCCACAGCTACCTTTCCCAGGTTAATACACTAGTGTTGGTCTTGAAATGCTGGTTTGAGGACATGGAGAAAGAAAACTTCATAGAATTTGTAACAGTACTTGCCCATCTCCAGTTCCTAGCTGGCCTATTTTTGGAGGTTGAGTCTAAATTAGCTCAAAACTTCAATAGCACTTGATGTTTGTGTAGGTTAGAAGGGTCATCTTTGTGGTTATAATGAAGTTGGAGTAAATGAAATGGTGGTGTTTTTTACCTGAAGTGCCTTCTGCTCAGGGTAACAGAGCCTTTAAGAAAGTGGCGAACAGCAGGTAGGAGTCCATTCACTTGCTCCCATGTTGCTGTAGACAGGAGGTGTGATGTGCCAACCTCTCTTGTGTCCTACAGGTGTGTTATGTTTTCCTATAAGTCTCTGCACTAGTGTGGTAACTTTGACTGTGGGTTGATGCATTTCCCTGAGCTTCGTATGGAAATGTCTTTCAAAATCAAATTCAGAGCAGTCTGTGGAATCTGAGCTGTGAATCACTGCTTGTTTTCTGTTCCCTTTTTCTTTCCAAACAGTATGTTCTGCAGCCCTTGTGAGGGGCCTTGCCCCAAAATTTGTGAGGATGGGAAAACGAAGACCATCGACTCTGTCACATCAGCACAAATGTTGCAGGGATGCACGATTCTCAAGGGGAATTTGCTGATCAACATCCGTCGTGGAAGTAAGTGACTTCCCTGCCTTCACAAACCTCTGATGAGACTGCTTTTATTATTTTTCTTTTGTCAGCATAATAACAGGAACATAAAAAACTCAGTGACTTGTTTCTTTTCCTGTCCCATAGCAGTGCTCCTATTTGGGTTGGCCCACTTGTAGCACCATTCTCCAACATGCAGATGGAATAGGTAGTCAGCTACCAATCAGGAAGCAGGGAAAGCTGGTATTTTCTGTAGCTGTTTTCAGCAGGGCAAGGAACCAGGAGGCACCAGGACTAGGCAGGGAGATGAGAAATAGTTCCAAAGGAGTAATAAAGCCTCAACAAAGTGAAAAAGTGAAAGTCCTTGCATCTGGGTAGGGAAATAAGAATTCTCCACACGTAGGGAGTGGCACTGTAAGATGGAATAGCCTCAGTTTCTAAGGTAGGAGGTGTTGTCTTGCTAAAATTTGCAATCAGTAGCTCCAAAAGCTCATACAGAGCCCAGCACTGTGCCTCTGGATGGTCATCGTTAGTGAGCTGGCCAGTCTTTGTTGCATGTCTTGAACAAGCTCTGGATTAAATTTGTCAGGGATGTCATTCATCGGTCAGGGAAGTGCTGACAGTTGGTGAGCTTTTAAAGAAATACACACGAAAAATTGCTGTTAATTTTTGTTGGAAATCTGTCTCTGTATGGAAGGTGCTTTTTGCTTTTTCATGAATATGGTTGGAACTTTCAGATGTATTTGATTCCCTTCCTTCTGCTTAATAAAATTTATGGAGTTTAGAAACAGTAGTATGTGCATTGCTTCACTCGTGGTTCCCCTGTTGCTAGTAGAGTCTGCATCAGGAGAGATTTTCAGTATACCTGGAGCAAGTGTGTGCAGAGGGGGGATGTTGTGGTTTAATTATTATCTAAGTGTGTTGAAGATTGTGACACCACACAAGGAGTGCAATCCTTGAGCCTGGTGAAGGGTGGGATTTTGCAGAGCTTGGCAAGGACAGTTCATGTCCTAAGGAGATGACAGTCCTGAAGGTTGGAGCTAACTCTGAAGAAGTTTAAATAACTTAGTGTGGAAAATCACTAATGTGATGCTGCAGAGAGCGTGGTCTATGGCATGAGGACATCCTTATAGTTTTGTCTTCCTTGTTTCATGGAGGTCCAAGTTTGATGGGCAAAGTTTTCTAAGCCACTGAAATCAGTGTTTTATGCCCCATTGGAGACCATTAGCATACTTTTCTATTTCTTCACATTTGTATTCAGTCTCATTCTCTATTCTCCAGTGGTGGTTTCTGCCTGAGCCTTGCTCTGGACCTGAAGAACAATTCCATTCCCATGGATGTGTACCTTTACAGGGGTCTTCAGCTTGGCCAGAACACTGGCTCAGTATTTGGTGCTGTCTTCAGAGTGTAGTGTCTGGGGAAGAAACATATATAACAATACAGAAAAGCAAGAGTGTCTTTCCAGTGTTGCTCTGCCTTGTTTTTTGTCCTTCAGCCATCTCTCTGCACACTTAACTGCCACTTTAGGTGGAATACCATTGTATGTCGTTTTCAAAAGCAACAAATGTAGACATTCCCTTTTACTAAAATGGTGCTGAGTAAAGTAGAATATTGAATAAAGTTATGGATTTTAGAATAATAAAACTGTAATTTTCTTATTGTAGATAACATAGCTTCAGAACTGGAGAATTTCATGGGTCTGATTGAGACAGTGACAGGATATGTGAAGATTCGCCATTCCCATGCATTGGTTTCTCTGTCTTTCTTGAAGAACCTGCGGTATATTTTGGGAGAGGAACAGGTGGACGGGTAAGTGTTGTACACTTGTAGGTGCAATTTAACATACAATACAAAGCCACAAGAGGCTAAGTCTCCTAATGTTCCTTCGTGTACTGTTTATACAATTATCTCTTCTGCTAATATCTGCTAATACATTTCACTAAAGGGGGATTGCAACTGGAAGAGACTCCACTAGTGTGAATTAGTTTGTAAGTTGTGATTGTTTGCAGTTCCTTAAAATACTAACATTAATTTAAATTGTCTATCAAGCAGAAAGTAGCTTGGTCAGAAAGAGTAAAGTCAATCCCCCAGAAATGGTTGCCGTGGGTTATTCTGTTTTTGTAATACATACAAAATGTGTGATACATCAGCTGCTCCACAGTTACAGTTGTATACAGCTCCTGTTTCTCTATGATGGCATAGGTAGCAGAAACAAAAGCTTTCAACCTCCACAGAACTTGCAGTGCTCAGGTGTGTTAACACACAAGCTGAATCTCTCCCTGAATCAAGTTCTAGTTCAAGTTTAAACCAATACTCTGTGGGAAAAGTTAAGTCTCTGTCAGTAATGAGAGAATTATTAAACGAAGAATTTTGGGTAATTGTATAGGAAAAGGTAGTGGGAAGGTCATGGGAAAGGTTGCTTATGCCTAGTTTATCTGCCCCGACAGGATAAAGTTACAGCATGAGGGATTCTTCACAACCTCCCTGCTTCTGTCAGACTAGTCTTTGGTCAGCCTAAAATTCTTCAGATTCCATCATCTGACAGAGCAAGTTAAAGGGCAGCTCTTCATCTTCCACTTGAAAAACACTTTTTTTTTTTCAGTAAGATTGTTTGTTCTATGGAAAAGCTTGTTTCTAATTGCAAATCCTGGAGACTTGTCACTTTGAGCACAAGGCTCATTCAGCCACTCACAAAGCTCTGTGCTCTAACAGATACTTCAGTTATCTGTTTGTCTTTTCTCCTGTGCCTCTTCTCCCTCTCTTGCACTCCTTAAATTTGAGTTCAGCTTTGAGGTTTAAATAGTATATATATTGCTGTTACCTTGGATGTCAGTAAGCAGATATCAGCAGAGCTGATATGAAGAGGAATGACAGGCTTTAAAATCTGATTCCCAACTAGAAAAGGAAATGGTGCAGCTTTGAAGAGGAAAATAGGGCTGAGGGAAGTTAGGAAGTGGCCCCATTTGCATACTGATGTCAGGGGCTCTTTGCCTGGAAAATTTGCCTAGCGTAATTTAGGCATTGCCACAATCTAGATAACATTTCCAAAAATATTTAGATGAAAGTAGACAGCTAACAAGGAAGAAGTGAGCTTGAAGTAGGACTTTGGCAGAGCTGTGAACATCAGGCAGTGGGGCAGGACTGGGGGGAAGTACTGTTGTACTCGGACAGTAGTTTATGGGAGTGCTGCCTTCAGGGGTGAAAAGGAGGTTAAATTAAGAACCGTTATGGGAGTTGTTCATTACATGACTGACCCCATTGCGCTGTTGTTTTTTTTTTATTGAACAGGAGTAGCAAAACAGTACTTCAGTATTTCTTCCTTACTCAGTCGCTGTTGCATGCCTTGTTTGTTACAGAATGTGGGAATACTATAGGGACTTTAATTTCTGCAGTTGTTTTCAGGGTATTCATTACCTCTCTTGAACACCACATCAGTAGGGAATGCATTCTCACCACAAAAAAAAATTCCCCTCTATGTATAGGGAAACTGAAATGGAGATGTGCTGGAAGGGTCTCTGTGTTCCCTGCAGGATTTTCATTCGTAGTCTGGTGCCTGCCCTGCCTGACCATCCTGTCCTTTGCTGAGTGCTGTGTGCTCATCTCTGCCCTGTGAGCGAGAGGCACATGGGCACATGGGCAGCACTTCTCCAAGTGTTGGATACCTGTGATCAGGGCCACATAGGTGTGGAATGCATGCCAAATTAATAGGCAGCTTCTTAGCTGATGTTTTGTATGTGTAAAGCAATAAGCAGTTTCCTTTTTGCTCTCATATTGGTTGATGTTCCAGCTAGCTTAGTGGGATTTCTTTTTATTGTAGCACTGAGAGATGAACAGCTTCTCTGTGTGTCTTACATCCCACTTGTCTCATTCCAGGCTTGTCAGACTCTGCCACTAGCCTGGTCTTCTGTAGCCAACATATCCATTGCAGCCATTCACAGTCCTTTGCCAGTTCTTGTTCCCGTTTTGGTGCAAGTCACTTCTTTACACATTGTGTTAACCCCTTCAGCAGCAAACTTACCTGGTCATTACTTTCTTCCCAGAGTTTTTGGTGTCATATATGCTGTGAATGGGGATAACAGGTGATTGAAAGCTTGTTATGTGGAACACTTTCTTTACCAGTATCTCCTCTCGCTGTGGGTGTAGTGTTCTGCATCATTGCTTTATGCTGTGTGTATGCAGATAGATGCAGCACTGTGTGCAGATACAGTGAAACATGTTTCTGGTGTATGCAGTCAATAATTAAGTAGCTCTGGGTGCTCTGCAGTTGGGAGATGCGTCACCTTGTGGGAATGCTCTCCCGTGGGTGTGTGTGGATTATGCAGGTTGACTTGAGGCTCTTTATGGCACAGCCTGGGACCAGATGAGCCTCCTGCTTCTGTTCAGAAGTTCAATCTGTCCTTCAAGTCATGGTCTCCAGACGTTTACACTGATACTCTCTGAAGGGTTTGAGTGGCAGTGCTTTGTTTTCCTACACTGAATCTTCTATTCTTTCCATGCTATCTTCCTTGACATCCCTATTTTTTCCACAGCTGTTGGAGTCAGTGTCTGATATAATCATTATTTACAACCCAAGCCATAAGTGCCTTTCCACTGCCTGCTGCTCCACCTTCTGAGCCATGCAGCATTGCACCTCTCCTGTGCCTGGGACTGGATTTAGCATTCCAGGTCTGGTTTCCTTGGCACTTTGTGTGGTGCCAGAGTAACTTCCACTAATTTATACTCACAGTGTATATAGGATCCCTTTGGACTTGTTTGCCTTGCCTCAGACCGTTGCTCAAACTTGTGTGGATGCCTTTAGAAGTACAATCCATAGAAATTCCAGACTGTCCCAGTCAGTGTGCAGTTGTGTAAAGCACCCATGTGTAGTTGATTTGCCCCATTTATTCAACTCTCTTGAAATACAAGTTATTTGTCATGCTTTAGCACGAGAATTATCTCTTGTGTCTGAAGCATAATTGCCACAGTTGTGAGCAGGAGACAGGCTGGGCTGTTATAAAATATTTAAGATGGTTTCTGTAGCCATAGAGCCACACCTGTTTATTGCATTAAATCTGAGTCCAGCTTTTTGGGTCTTTGCTGAAAAGCTTAGTTGCCATTGCTTAATCACACAGCTAATTATAGTGAAGTGTCATCTTCTGAGCAGTGCACAAGGAGCTGCAGGGATTTTAGTCATCTGTAACAAATAAACACACATTTTGGTGGTATCTGTTGAATCTCACATGTAGTGTAGCATCACTATTCTCTCCTGGCAAGAAACATTTAAAATGCATATATGTACTCCCTTTTCAATTGTTAGTCACCAGAGCACATTCTTCTCAGCATCTTACTGCAGTGGTTCCAGGTGTATCACTTATCTTAGTGACCAAGCCCTGGATATTTAGGGTGCACTTGGAAATAGGACAAAGCCCTTCTCTTTCACATAGTTCTCAAAATACTCTGAGCATTTTGGTGTGTCACGAGAAACTGCAGCTGTGTTCTGTGCAGGTTGCAACCAGAATGCAGTTCTCACTTCAGGTTGGGTGAGGGAGGAATGAATGCTAAATTTTAGTTGAAACAGTGGAAAGAAAACCATAAAGGAGTCTCTAGTGTGCCAGCTTCTTATGAGCAGAATGGTTTGTCTGCCATGTTACTCTGGCTAACTCTGACTGCAGTTGAAAGGATGCGTAGGATTTGTAGCTTTAGCTGTGCTGTTAGGAGCTTACCGAGGTAAAGTGACATGCACAGGTTGCAGGGATTTATCATGCTAATAATCGATTTTACATTGATGTACTTCTGTTGGTAGGACTTCCCGAGAATAATATAATAAATACTGACAGAACAGGTTCTTTTGATTTAAATCCGTCAGCTACACAAACCTTTAACTCATTTCCTAATTGTGCATTCCTGTCTCTGCCATTCCAAAATGTGTTTTTGCAGGTGTTGTCTTACTGCTGGTGTGCAGCCTATTATCTTGCTTTTGCTGCACCTGTTTTTTTCAGTTCAGCACAGTTGAGTGGCACCAGGAATTTCTTCTTACTGTGTGATAGGATTTACACAAACAACTTTGCATCTAATGTCTGTGGAAATAAAGGATGCTCATGTTTTTCCCCTGCTGTGTTTTGGGAATGGGCTCAGCACGTGCTGCCACAGCCTGTGTTATTAGCTCTGCACTTTGAAGTTGGGTCCTGTGCTGTGCAGTCCGTGCAACTCTTCTCTGTCAGTTTTGATGTATAGGCACAACTGTACTTGGCACAGCACAGGAAGCCTCTGCTGGGCCAAAAGGTAAACTAAGACACAGAGGCAAGGAAGCTTCACTATGCAAACTCTTACAGTTGCTTTTGTAAACATAAGCAAGACAGCTGTGTTCACCGTTTTATTTATCGTCAGAACTGCAGCTTGCTTTCCTTCCCATAAGGTATACAAGGTCATTACTTCCCATTTGGCACAAAAAGGAAAATCTATTGTAGAGATCTGCTGTCCAGAGGACATGAATTTGTATTCTTTCCAGCAGCTTGCATATTTATCCATGATTAAAACATATGTTGGAGTGGGCTTTACACAATGTGGTGTCAGCCTTGGGGTCCTCTGATATTCATTTGCCTGCCCTCTGACCAAAGTGAGCAGTCAGGAAAACGTGCTCCATGGGAGAGAAGAAAATCATTTACTCTGCTGAATACCGATTTAAATTAATGAGAGGAAGTACAGAATTTTAAAGTTTGCTTATATTGAGATATTCTTGGTGGGAATTGGTGATGAATTAAAACTGATATTTTCCTTCAAAAACTTTCTTCTAGGAATTATTCTTTTTATGTACTTGATAACCACAATCTACAGCAACTGTGGGACTGGAACCATCATAATTTGACGATCAAGGAGGGGAAAATGTACTTTGCATTTAATCCTAAATTGTGCGTTTCTGAGATCTACCGTATGGAGGAAGTTTCAGGAACCAAAGGGCGACAGAGCAAAGGAGATATAAATCCAAGGAACAATGGGGAGAGAGCCTCTTGTAAGTTTAAAAACAAAACAAAAAACCATTCACCACGTGGCTGTGTTATTGACTGTTACAACATGTAGAGGTTAGAAACTATGCTAGGCTTTCAGGCATTCTGCTTGATTGTTTTGTGCAAATGTAGCTGAAAGTATGTTTGTATTTGTGGACAACTGTGGTTACATAGTCACTGCATCATCTATAAAAACTGATGAAGAAATCTGCCATCAGAATACTTTTTTGTAACAACAGCATCCTATATCAGTAGGAACAGAGTCAGTAAAATCTTGATGTTTAATATGGCCAATGAAGAGCAGTTGCTCTGTTTCCTTTGCAAATTTACATAATTATTGGTATTTTTCTCTCTTAGATGTATGTACTCTTTTTGTTATTAAGGAAGCTGCCTACATAATGATTTCACAGACACTAAAATACCATTTGTGTTACTTCTGAGCTTCTTTTCAGCTCCTGCCAAATATTGCATTTTGTTACTAGAAGTGCTTGTTGCATGCTCAATTTTTTGTGCTTTATTTTTCAGATTGCTTTTGATTTGCAAACTTTTTTTAGTGTCCTACAGTGTGTTTAAACTTCAGTGTCTGCATTTAGTTTTGGATTCTGCGATATTGGAAAGTCCTGTGCAGGCTTTGGTGGAGTTCACATAAGGTCTCCAGGTGTAACCAACACATTTACAAGCAGTCTCTCTTGTAGGAATTAAGAAGGCAGAATGCTTACGGTTTTGACCTCACACTCAGACTCTTAGAACTGATGGTGCATTTTTCTTTGGTCTGTTTGTGGTGCTCTTGGAGCTGAGTAAATTAAAACATGTCCTGTGTATAAGTCAAGTCCCCTTGTTCAGGATGGTATTCACAAAACTAGGGCACGTACTCTGCTGAATGTCTCTTCAGGCACGATGCACAAATGCAGATGGCATAGATCCTTGTTGTAAGTACACTCCATTCTTTGCACATTCAATAGGGCAAAGGCTTGCAGTCCTGGAGGAGTTACAGACACACAGTCAGTCCTTACTACCACTGAGGCAAGTGCCAGCCGCTGCCTGTTTTAAAAAAAAAAAAAACATTACAGAAAGCTTTCTGACTCTGAGAAGGGGAAAAGAATCAACAAAAGCTAAACTGCCTTTGAAAAGATAGCACCAACAGTGCCAGTGTACATGAGGGTGAAACCCCCTTTATTTTTGGAGACTTGTATGAAACATTATAAACTGCCACACAGTTGATGCTTAGAACACAATTTCTTCATCTGAGCATTAAGTTTTTAAAATGCTATTTTGTTTTGGATTGGAAAACTCAGTGACTTGGTAGTGGGAAGCCATTCATTTCAAAGCTGCCAGCTTCCATCTAGCTGTGTTCAGAAGAGGAGCTGGAAGCTGCTGCCATCAAATGGTTGTGCAGTATATGATCTGAGTTTCGGAGGTTTTGGTCCAGCCTGAAATGAGTAGGGATATAAACAACTTTCTCCTTTCTATCTTGTCTATTCTCCAGAAGTCAAATTGTAATTGCCTAAAATTGTCTCAGAAAGTGAGAATATGGAGGCCAGTTACACCTCTGCCTTTGCATTGCAATTGGTGATGAATTTAGTATTACTAAACCAGTCCTGTGAATAAACACGACTTCGATTTCTCATTCAGGGAGAGGCTGAAGTAGTTTTCAAGAGCTTTCTGATGGTGCACTAACAGGAAATGTGCTTCAAAAAATAAAAAACCCTAAAGAACAAGTAGCTTCAGTGTTCACTGCCATGATTGCCAAGGCCAGGCCAGTGCTTACCCCTAAGCACTCAAAAATGGTAGGATGAAATACTAAGGTATAAGAAAACAAAGGCTGCCTGCATATTGTGGTATCATAGGCATTGCTGGAAAGACTAATTAGCAAAAACTGGTACATAAGAAAAAGCAATACCTATTAAGCAAAACAATCAGGCAGTACAGTGATGACTCAGCCCTGTGATGTCTTTCTGTGTTGCAGGTGAAAGCCACATTCTGCGTTTTGTTTCCAACACAACACTGAAGAATCGGATTAAGCTGACGTGGGAACGGTATCGCCCTCCAGATTACAGAGATCTCATTAGCTTCACTGTTTACTACAAAGAAGCGTGAGTAGATACCTTCAGAGACAAATGGAGACAGTCAAGGGATAGTAGGCAGTTTTCTTCTGACTGTTGTTTTACTGAGACGAGATAGTCAGCAAAACTCCTTCTGGTAGTTTCTACTTCGCAGTTTACATATTTCATTCAGTTTACATAATTCATCCTCACATCCTGCCTTCATTTGATTTTTATTCTTGGTTGAGTAAAAAAAAAAAACCCTTTAAATTGAGGATTATATTGCCTGAAGACTATAAATCGATTCCAAATCCATTGGGTAGTTTCAAATTTGGGAAAATGAGTTGGATGGCTTCAGTATTCTCAGGGCACTAATTTGGAGCTAAGTCATACTGTTGTTTCTGCTGAGATATTCTCTAATCATAGCTTTAAGAGGACATCACGTATCAGGAGTTTTACCTACCACCTCGATGACTTGTCTTACTCAGTATTTGAAATTATTTAGGTTTCTCAACCTCAGTAATTATCTGCATTAGAATTTTTTGAAGTAGGAAGCAGTTACCGGAGGGAGTGTAATTTCTTCCGAGATCTATCTACCTTTGCATATCTTTGTAAGAGCTCAGCTTTAAAGTAGAGTCAAAATACAAATAAGTACATTAATAACTCTGCAAGCAGTTGGGGGGTGAGGGTTGAAGGCATGGTTCAGAATGGTGTTAGGTGGAAGGCTGAGGTGAGACATCATTGAAGTGAGATACTTGCATAAATGTGTGACAATTTTTAGGAGAAAATAAATATCTTGCACCTTTTTTTTTTCCCAATGTTTCAGGCCATTCAAAAATGTGACAGAGTATGATGGACAGGATGCGTGCGGCTCCAATAGCTGGAATATGGTCGATGTTGACCTGCCACCAAACAAGGAGAATGACCCTGGAATTTTACTGCAGGGATTAAAACCCTGGACTCAGTACGCGATTTATGTCAAGGCTGTTACCCTCACAATGATGGAAAACCATCACATTCATGGAGCAAAAAGTGAAATTGTGTATATACGAACCAATGCTGCAGGTAAGGTCCTTGTCTCTTGGTGAAGAGTTGATAACACTTTAGGTATGTTTATTATCTGGGATTTTAAAAGCATCCAAATACATTGCAGTATGTACTAGGTTTAAAATGCCTTCATTTTCTTTTTCCATGCCAGTGCCATCCATTCCCTTGGATGTTATTTCAGCATCCAACTCCTCTTCACAATTGATTGTCAAATGGAATCCTCCTTCTCTTCCCAATGGCAACCTCTCATACTATATTGTACGATGGCAGCAGCAACCTCAGGACAGTTACCTTTACAGACACAATTACTGCTCCAAAGGTAGGCTCACTGAACATAATTTTGAAATGCCTGTAACTCTCTTACCTGCCAGGATAGATTACTTACAAGGGCTAAAGCTTGTGCTATGCTTCATAGTACTTTTGTGAAGCAAGTATAAAGGAATGTGTAAATCTGGATTGTTAACGTGTTGTTAACACAGAGAGAAAAGCAATAAGCTGCCCGTTTTCTTTTAAGATAAAGTCCCAATTCGAAGATATGCTGATGGGACCATTGATACAGAAGAAGCTACTGAACCCACCAAGCCAGAGGGCTGTGGGGGAGAGAAAGGACCTTGTTGTGCTTGTCCCAAGACAGAGGCAGAAAAACAAGCTGAGAAGGAGGAAGCAGAGTACCGGAAAGTCTTCGAGAACTTCCTTCACAACTCCATCTTTGTCCCCAGGTAATGGTCTTCAGCTAATTGCATTTTTTTTTTTAATATTTCCTAGAGCTCAGGCTTCCTGAATGAGAAAGAATATATAGGTAATACCTAAAACGTGTCAACGTTGTCTCTCAGTATATGTGAGACAGTCTGCAGTCTTTTTACTTTGCAGTCTCTTAGATGCAGATTTTCATCCCACTCTCTCAATTTTAGCTAGTAGTGAGAGTTCTTACCTATATTGTTCGAAGACTTCAGTGCTGGTTTATTTTCAGAGTCAAGAGTCACTTGAGCAGCTCTTTGTCTCTGAGAGTTTCAAAGATGAGCAACACATGGCAGATGAAGGATTTCAAATGTAATCTTTAAATAGCCATTTAAGTGCTTATGTTCCCAATCTGAAGATTTATTTGGCTTTGAAATTTGCAGACATGTTCACCTTGCAGAAATGAAACTGGTCTTGCTTTCTCAGTGCTCTTATTATGGTGTCCATACTGGTTTCCTGGGTCTATCCTGCAGGGAAATATTTAATAAACCCACTCTTCTATTTCTGTTGTAAACATTACTGCTTACACATCACATGGAATGGTAATTTATGCTACATCCTAGAATAGATACTACTGAATGAATTGATGATTTTGATCCTTGAGTTTCTTATTTATCCTTTATGTAAGCTGGTCTTTAGGTAATTGGACCCTGGAGCCTAGCACACAGTATACAGCTGTTTAACATGTTACAGTTTCTGTAAGGAATCAGTTTTCAATCATGCATGCTATCCATTGTCACTGTTGACAGGTTAAGTTTATGTTCAAGTCCTGTGTTTGAGTACTCTGAAGTGTGGCTCTGTTGCTCATTGAAACTGGGTTATATTACTCTCCAGTATGAGGTTGTTTTGTTTTTTTTTTTTTAAACTTTTATTCAAGGCAGTTTTGGATTTACCTGTTTGGTTTTGGGACAATATTTGCAGTGCTTCTTAGCTTTGTCCAAAAAAAATGAGGAAATAAGTACTGTCTCTCTTTGGAGGTGCTAAGTGTTGTACCTGAGCTTTGGCTGGTTCGTGTTTAGTGTTTGTATGTGAATTTATGCAGTGTTTTGCTACTGATGATAAGAACCAGCTGCAGAGGTAAGGTAGCAGCCACCTGACTGCCCAGGTCCCCCTGTGCAATGTGAGATGGTACAAATATGAGCTTATTTTGAATTTTATGAAATATGAAGGAGTTTTGAAAGGCATTTTTAAGTTATAAACTACCTGAAAATCTATCAAAGTAGCGTTTACAAAAGATTATTTTTATTTCAGTGAAGTCTGGTCATCTAAAATGTGTTGTTTTTCTCACCAATTTGCTTGCATTTCCCAAAACAAAAGGAAAATCTCAGAACTTTGAACTCAGACAGTAACAAATAAGCTGATCAGTTCACAAAGAATTTCCTGAAAGCTTCACTGTTTCCCCTTTTGCTTAACTTATTGCCATAAGGGTGTGTTTTGTAACAGCAAGGGTAGATAAAGTATAATGTTCAGAAATAGCTGCATAGCTAAGCAACTTTAGATGTTATGTTAGGGAAATTAGAGATTATGAGTTAGTAAAATATCTCTGTGGGACAGATCTAAGCAGCTTGTTACCTGCTGATGTCCATGCTTTTTTCTTTCCAAAGGGAGAAGTTACTGAACGTGTTAATGTAAGCCTCAATAGTGGTATTTGTTTCCAGTGTTCTACCTGTCTCCAGGATATTGTGAAAGAAATGCAGCATGTAATACTGCATGAAAATATTCAGCTGTGTGGTTTTAAGTTTGCTTGAAGTCTGTTGATCTAATATTGTGTGCAGTTCTTGAATGACTGTGGTTATTGTAGTCATGAGGTAGATTTCAAACATTAGGACTCTGGTTAGTCTTGAACAGATGCTCATGACCACAGGACGAAAAGTTATTCATGAAGTTCCTTAGTTCTGTAATGAGCAGGATGAGATGCGTGCTGTTTGTAATAGAAGGTATTTCAGAAGTAATTAAAAAATTGACAGAGTATAAGAAGTCCAGGGAGACCTCACTGTGGCCTTCCAATACTTGAAGGGAGCATATAAACAGGAGGGGGAATGGCTGTTTACAAGGGTGGATAGTGATAGGACAAGGGGAAATGGTTTTAAACTGAGGTAGGGGAGGTTTAGGTTAGATATTAGGAGGAAGTTTTTCACACAGAGGGTGGTGAGGCACTGCAACAGGTTGCCCAGGGAGGTTGTGGATGCCCCATCCCTGCAGGCATTCAAGGCCAGGCTGGATGTGGCTCTGGGCAGCCTGGGCTGCTGGTTGGCGACCCTGCACGTAGCAGGGGGTTGAAACTGGATGAGCATTGTGATCCTTTGCAACCCAGGCCATTCTGTGATTTTATGAACAGTTAGCTTTCATTTTAAATGGCTTTTGTTTTTTTTTTTTTTTACCAATGTTAATTTGATTTCATTTTTATGAAGTCTTATTTTTCTTCCTTCCTTCAACAGAATAGATGAATTTTCATGTTTTTATCTCCTACCTTTTCCTTGTTTTCTTGGGTTTTTGCTTTTTTGTCTTTATCTGTGCCTTTCACCGGAGCAGGAAACTGCTTGACAGCAAAGCAGTAGTGTCCAATCTCTAGATATTTTAATCGCATTTTCCTTTGTTTTCCTTTTTCTCTCCGTGATATGATTATAGTTTTTACCACCAAGTTTAGTGTTGCTTTCTCTTTGTTTTTCCCCAAAGACCAGCTAGGACTGGACTTTTTTTCAGATACCACCAAAGAGTGAAACATCTTGCATCCCATAAAGGTGGTAGATTAAGGCATGCTTTCTGGGTTCATACTTCAATTTGTGCTTTTGTTGACTGGAAACAAACTTTGTATTTTTACTGCTTTTATCACAGAATTTGTGCAGATGGTTGGTGGAGGTCATTCCATGTGCTTTTAGGACTTGAAAAGTTTTTTCTTTCCACTGAATTGAAACAGTCAATGGGTACTCTTCCAAAGTAAGCTAAATAGGATTTAGTAACTTCCATAAATATCACTGTAAAGGAGAAGCAAAAGCTTGCATCTCCTGTGAAATGCTCACACATCCCACTGACAAGAAATTAAATTGGCTTGTATGTTCCTTAAAACAATTTATTGGTAACTTAAGCTTCTTTCTTGTCTTTGTTTATTTCTGTGCTGTGGTTTACATGGCATCTGAGAGTGTCAGAATGATTCCTCAAGACATAGAAAAAGGATTTTGGAAAATTTCGTAGTCAACTCCTAAAAAAAAAAAAAATGCATCTATTCTCTGCCAGATTTCAAAATCAAGTCAGGCTCTTTTTGGTTTACTCTGCAACATGCTGCTTTGTGACTGAATGTTCTGACATTTCGTCAGGTAGTGAATTAATTTCTCCTGTTCATCAGCTTATTCCTGTTGTGTGCTTGGGGAAGACATTATGCACCTGATCTGCAGCTTACTCTTGTAGGAATGAGGTAGACTTCACCTTTGTTAATGAGAGCCATTGCACTGACCAGGTGCTCAATGGTGGCAGGTGAGGCAGGATGCAGGCCAATTAATTGCCCTGGTGCTCTGCTATCCATGTGTGAGCAGTGCAGGTGACTTCAGCGAGGAGGAAAGTGGGAGGTGGAGAAGCTCTCCTGCCTACGTAGTTAGTGCTTATGGGCAAAACAGTCATGGACTTGACACATGATCAAGTGACATGTCTTTTATTTAGCAGTTGTGTGTTGGTTAGCTCATACCAGCAAAATATTTGTAGGGTATTTTTATACTGATGTTTGTCATGCCACTCAAGCCTGGCCATTATAGTTGTTCCTTAGACTTGAGAAAGTAGTGGCATTGCTGTAAATCCTCACGTTTTTGATTCAGTGCACAAATCTCATATAGATGCAAAGTGAAGTTGAACTCTTTGCTATACACAAAATTAGTGCTGCATTTTCTCTAGGAAGAATCTAGGAAGGTTGTTTCTTTACAGCAGGTAAGAGAATCATAGATGCATAAATGACCATGCAGTGATGGTGGTTGACTTTCATGGCTTTCAGCTGCCATCCAAGGTTTCTTTTCTCAGTCCAGAGCATTCTGCAATTCCATTGCAACTGAAAAGACCAACAAGTTAAGCCCACTGAGAGTTAGCTTTGCTACTTGAGCAAACTTCAGTACGTTTTTTTCCCTAACTTTTTAAGCCTTTACCATCTGATTTTTATTTTAAGCTTCAACATTATTGTCATTAAATACAAATCCAGTTTGCTTTTTCAATAACAGAGAAACTGTCTTTGCTATTCAGTTTATTGTGCCAGCACCAGGGTGGTCATAAGTTTGCACATGTATCATGAGGCTCACTTTCAGCTTCAGAGATGGATTTCCAACCAAAAGTGAGTAATAGGATGTAGTGATGCACTGCAGGTTTAGCTAAAGAGAGAGCTGTTTTCTTGCCTTGCAGTATTCTTTATTTAGCTTTTCTTCTTAATAGCACTTACCTATTTTACTGTGTTTTTTCACCAGTTTTCTTGAACCTACAGGAAAAGTGATTTTTCTCTAAAGAGGTCTTCTTCCTGTATTTGCTCCACAGACCTGATCGGAAGCGGAGGGATGTGTTCCGCATTGCAAATGCCACTTTGGCCACTCGAAACAGGAACACAACTGGGGCAGATCACTTCACCAACGTTTCTGATGCAGAGGAGAGTGAGGTGGAATACCCGTTCTTTGAGACCAAAGTGGATGGCAAGGAGAGAACTGTGATCTCCCATCTCCAGCCTTTTACTCTTTACCGCATTGATATTCACAGCTGCAACCATGAAGCTGACACACTCGGTTGCAGCGCTTCCAACTTTGTCTTTGCAAGAACCATGCCTTCAGGTATGCTCTCATAAGCATCAAGGTTTTGTTGGGTTCTTTTTTTCTGGGAAGAGCTGAGTCTCAGGGGGGCAAATCTTTGAAAACAGAGAAGTGTTGGGAGCATGAAATAAAAATTGAACACGAGGAGATGATATATTAAAACTATATGAAAATTTCTTGCAATAGTTAAATTGTCTCATCTGGTCTCTCCTGTGTACTGAGTTATCTGTATTGAGCCTGTCCTCTGATCTTGGAGAAGGGCAGCCCTGCCTCCAGTACCTAGATGATTATGAGAGAAATGGTTTCCCAGCTTTGTAGATGAGAGGCGCAGACACGATGGATTAAAAGGTTTTATTCTTCAGTTCCCTGCATGCTGAATAGAGACAAGGGAACATTTCTCTGTTGGTGTTCAGTTTTTCTGTGTTCATGCTGAACTGTTTACAGATGTTAGTTCTGCTGGTGGAAATGCTTGCCAAATGTTTCTTCTGTAACAGAATGACCAAGCATTTGTCCAGCCTGGAAACAGGAGGAGTACTGAGATGCTTTGTGCCCAGTCATGGGCATCTAGAATACTTCAAATAAGAAACACTGAATGCTCTACTCATGTTTGGGAATTATACAGATTGTACTTCTTCTGAGAAGAATAGAGATGATTTTAGTGTAAGCTCATATGCATCCAGCCAAGAACTTCTGACTCCAGCAGATGGCTGGGAATATTTGATGCAGTGGTAGTAATTTTGCTTTGTTTCCAACATAATTTGGGTTTAGCTGTGTCAATAAAGGTATTATTTACTTCAAGGAAGTAAGGAAAAATGTAAGATCCGGGAAAGGGACATAGGTATTCCCAGATATTTATTGTATGGTTTTGAAAATTAAAAGCTAAATTATTTTACTTTATTCTGAACCTTATAAGACTGAAACTGTCTTCATACTCCTGTTAGGATTTGAATAAACATCATAAAATGACCAAGAATGAAAATGGGGATAAACACAACTGCTGGATTGCTGATGAGACCCTGTTTTAGATTGAGTAGTTTCCTAAGATTACCTACAGAGAAGGGATGGCAGTGGGGCAGATTCTGCTGTCCTTCTAGCAGGTTGTTGTTTGCAGCCATTTGGTGGGACTAGTTGTGTCTGCATGGCTTTGATGTAGTGAAAGGCTTGGAATGAAGAACCAAATGCTGATAAGCAGTTCCGTGTCATGCAAATATAGCACACTTAGTAAAACAGCACTGATATCTGATGAAGCTGTACGTACACCCTCATTTCTGACAATCAGCAGTTCATGCAGTGCTAATCTATCCAGCCAGACCCTGGCCAATGCATTTTATTCTCTGGATCTTCAGATAGTACTTCCTTCAGTGCTTTGTGACCTAAAGAATAGTATGAACTTTTATTTTTTTCCCCCACCATTAACTGTTGCCTAAGTTCCTGTTTTAGCAGTAGGTATTCTTCTCACATTACTTGTAAATATTTTACAGAAGGAGCAGATAACATTCCAGGAACAGTAGCCTGGGAAGCAAAAGAAGAAAATACCGTCTACCTGAAGTGGTTAGAGCCTACAAATCCAAATGGGCTGATACTAATGTATGAAATCAAGTATGGGCAGCATGGAGAGGTGAGGATCTGACACTTCTCTGTTAATATTTACTGCTTGTTAGTCTAGCTTACACTTTTATTTTGTCACATCAGACTGTCTAACCAAGGTAGTATTTGTCATCCTGTTTTTTTCAGCCTCAGAGAATCTAGGTTTAAGTACAACTGTAGAATATTTTCCCTGCTTTGACTTTTACGGTACAAAGGACATAGCGCTACGTGAAGAGCCTCTGTAACTAAAAGCTAACATTGTCACACTTGAGTTTGCTAAAGCTCACGCAGCACTTGATGCCACAGACAGTGACTTAGCAGCCATCCACATTAATCTTTGGAGTTTCCTATTAGTCTCGTTGCCCACGGGAGTCAACTGCAGTTTGTAAATGAGAATCTGAAAGGGCTTCCAAGTTATGACTTTTATTATGCTTTAAAATACCAAATATAACTCAAAACTGAGTAAGGGTGGGGGGGATACAATGTTGAGGTACATTCAGTCTTTAAAAATTAATAGTTTAATGGTTTGGTTTTAATCATTTGCAGGCTGTAATAAAAAGCTTGGAGATCTGGTAGCACTGCAAAAGTTATCTTTGTGACTTTCACTGAAAATGTAATATTCAGAATAGACCCATTTTCCATATTCTTAAGCAAAGTAATTTCTATGTGGTGTTTATGGTAGCTGCTTTCTTTCAGAGATCTGTAGATTATCAAGTCCTTAATAATTGAACAGTGTTTAACTTAGTCCCAACTGAGACACAAAATGGAATCTGTTTTAACTTTCTTCTTTCTAAGTGCTGATACATATCAGTGATGGAGATGGTGATTTTAAACAACCAGCAACAAGCAGTGTCTCATTCCTTTGTCTTATTTTGTCAGGTTTTGGATTCCACATCTCTTTAAGTTGTTTGAATTAAAACTAATCAGATGGGGTATTCAGTTATACAGATGAGCTTATGTTGCAGCCATGCCCTCTTCTCAAGAGTGAAGAGATTGAAGATCTTAACATGAACTACAAAATTTTCCTTTCAGGAGAAACGAGAATGTGTTTCAAGACAGGAATACAAGAAGCTTGGAGGGGCAAAGCTGACTCATCTGAACCCCGGAAACTATTCTGCTAGAGTTCAGGCCACATCATTGGCTGGAAATGGATCTTGGACTGAGCCAGTCTCTTTCTATGTACAACCCAAATGTAAGACCAGTATTGCTTGGCTGTGTCCAACTGGGGACTTGCCTTTTTGAAAATTCCTAAGGTTACTCTGAATACTGTTACCCGTTGATGTGTTTTGGAAATTCCTCTCTGTTCTACTTTCTGACAGTTGTTTACAAGCAACAGGTGTATTGGAGGTGTGGTCCTTTTGTTGCATGCATTGTACATATACAAGGTGCAGCCAGGTGATGGGTGCATAGAGTTTACTATTGTGGCTCCCTCTGATGCCCACCTCACAGCCCAGTGTAATGTTAGGAGTTAAATGCTGGAGTCGGATTGTGCAGAAACTGTGATAATCAGCACACCTACTTTGAATTGCAAAGTGATTTAAGAACCAGTGATCGTTAAGATTTGCCCTGGCAGATTTTATTTAAATATCAGTATGATTTTTTTATACTTTAGAATTGATCTTAGGAATGTTGTGATAAAGATGGTACTAATGAAACGGGATACTGCTCCTGAGAGTGGTAGCAATTTAGGTTTTGGAAGAATAGCTCTGTACAGGGTACACAGAGACCTTCTCAGGAACTTCTGTGTTTAGCTGAAGAGCAGTTGTATCCACAGAAAATTGAACTCCAAACCAACGTGAATATCTTCTGAAGTATGAGCAATTGCAAGGTGAACAAAAGGTGGTGGAAAAGAAAGGTTAATATACAAGTGAACAACTGTGTATTGTTCACTGAGGAATGTAAGTCTTCAAGCATAACATGTGAAACCAAACTCCAGACAGACGCTGTTCTGTACAAAGTTAATGCTTTTCACTCTCTGTTCTCTTGTTCCACTCATCTGCAGTCAGGGAGTGTTTCTGAGTATATTTTTCCACATCAGACAAGAAAATGAGTACTTTGATTTCTCCCGTGTATGGAAATATACTTGAGTGGGTTTTGAATGTTTCTTTGTTAATGGAGATTTTATAGAAACCTTAATACAATTGTTTTCTTGTTGGTTGCAGCAGCAAACTATGACAATTTCCTCCATTTGATAATTGTGCTCCCCATTGCTTTCCTGCTCATCATTGGGGGTTTGCTGATAATGCTGTATGTCTTTAACAAGAAGAGGTGAGTTACATTTGTGGTTAAAGCTAAACTGCAGGAGGGGAATGCTTATTTTCAGGTCTGTGTCTGTGGAGCAAGTTAGAAAATAAAAAGTGAAATAGCTTTCATAGTACTTGGGAAGCTAAGGTGGATTCAGCCCTGTTGGTGTGTAGAAGGAGGTGGTGTAGAGTTACTAGCCAGTATTTGCCTGCTGCTTGGGATGCAAAAGGGCTTTTTATTACAGTATCATGTTTGAAGGAGAAGAAGAAAGGTTGTCAGGAACATATCCAGTGATGGCAGATGTGTTGAACCTTTATAATCAGATGCTTTGAAATGCAGGTTGCTCTATAAACTTAGTTTAAGTCAGGTTAATCTGATTTCTTGCAAATTCTGAAGTTTTTTTTTAAATTCTTTCCATACACATAAAAATGTTTATATGCTGGACAGAACATTCAACTGATTTGTCTTCCTTAGTGTTGTACTTAAATAACTAGGGTTTTTTTTTTTTTTTTTAATTTAATTGAAATACATAATGGGAACTTAGCAGAAGTCAGTGCAAATGTTCTGTCTTGCAACTTTTTAAGTGTGGAGCTTTTTTGTTACACATACTTTTAAATTAAGCTCATTGAGTATCTCATTATCTCCAGCTCTTGTCCTTTTGTGTGCACACTGTAATCTCAGTTCCCACGCATTACAGAAAGAGCTTTGCACTACAGAAAGGGTTTTGCTTCAAGTGATGTGAGGTACCTGCTGGCCTTCCCATGTCCTCTCTGGACTGGAGTAAACCATCCTTCTTTAAACTGTTGTTCTAGCACACAGAAATGTTTTCTTTGGTTTTCTGAGGTCTGATTGATAATTTTATTTCTACAGCTTGCCCCCTGCAAGAAGTCATACAACTCTCACTAAATGTCTTATTCTGAAAATCACACCAGTAAAATAAAATAATAGAACCAATTTATAAAGTAGTTGAATAGAAGAAACCCAACTAAAAAAAGCCTTGTTCTCTGCATGATCAATTTTGTCTCACAGTAAAAAGCAGGTGATGTTAAAGCCACAAGTCTCCTGGGTGTATCAGTGCACAGCTGCCTTTCTTAAAGGAAGTTTGCCTAGCAGCTGAAAGTACTGTGTGTTTACACTTCTCTGTACCACATCAGCACCAGAAAAGACTGCAGGTTTCCTGGGAAAAATGTTCTGTGCTGTTTTCCCATTGATTATGTGAAGTAGAATAAGAATGTGATTTGTCTTCTTTCTCTGAAAAGCTCTCCACGTACAGTAAATACTTTGTGATTGAGCAAACAGTGGAAAAGCTGTAGAATAGGCAGTCTGCAATTACTTGAGTTTAAAGATTAAAAAGGAAAAAAAAAATATTTCAACAGGAACAGTGACAGACTGGGCAACGGAGTGCTTTATGCATCTGTGAACCCTGAGTACTTCAGTGCTTCGGATGGTAAGTGTGACCCGAGCCTCTGTGTGCTCACTTCTGTGCGCTCTGCTTGTGTCTGACTTGAGAAGGTATGAAACCCTTGTAAAGGGATGTGGTAAAACCTCTTTCTCTTCTTTGTATCTGCACACCCATAGTTAATTCATAGGCAGTTGTATGTGAATGTTGTCTGCCTACTGAAACTGGGGAGTTTCTGAAGTTTTTCCTGGAGTTTATTAAGCTGAGATTAACTTGGGTGGGTTTCCCTTTCAGAACATTGCCTACTTAGGCAGTAATTTTGATACTAGAATGAAGGAAGAATTCATGAATTCCATGTCTTCACTATTTGTCCTCTTGAGCCCCATTCTGACCTACTGGAACAAGCTCACCACATGCTTGGCTTACCACTTGCCAGTCAGAACGTGTGGCAATTCTGTGTTAAAATGAGCACAGCCATTTTCATGTAATCTCCATTTTTTTTTTTCTCTTTAATATCTAGAGTATAGAAGTCAGTTATTCTTTGACTAAAAAGCTTTTTCAGACTAGTTTCACGTTGACCAAATAAGTTTGTACTTGATGCAAATGACAACATTCTGTGGGATATGCAATGTGGGTAATGTTATTTGAATGTAAGAGTAAAAATGGAATAAGGTGCTGGAAATGGCAGCTAATGGGCTTTCCTCTTGCTTAGCTACTAAATTGGAGTTTTGCTTAAAGTAGTTCTGGTTGCCTCCAAATGAGGTTGTTTGTCACTGGTAGCAAAAAATAACTCCTTCCTTTATTCCAATGAAGAAACAAAAGCATCTAATGTGCCCACTGAAAGCTTGAGGGAAACTGTATAAAAAGAGATTCTTACATTGTCTGAAGCATCTTCTGAGGGTGTGGGGGTGCTGCTGGGAGCTAGCTCAGAACTTTGTTACCCCGAGGATTGGATGCTGGGTTTGTATGACTGGCAACACACCTGAGAAAATGTAACAGCACCAAGTAGTTTGGAAGACTGCAGAAAATTTCCATCAGGACAGTGGTGAAGGTGTCCAGTGCCAAATAAAATGCAAGAATTAAAACTGATCTTGGGATGATGAAGGTTTATTGTTCATTAGGATTGTTTAGTTTCAATTTCTTGTTTGTATACATAATTCTGAACCTTGAAAAACTTGAATTTCTTTCACCTCTTGCAAAACAGGATGAAAATCCTTAAAAACATACAGGAAACAAAAGAACAGAAAGCAAAACAACAAAAAAACATATAGCTTTTTTGTATGTCTGTCTTATTCTCCTGTACTTCACTTGTTGCAGAGGAATTTGCTGCTTGTGCTGTAGATAAACTCCTTGGCAGTTCCTCTGCTGGCTGCTCCTGGGCAGCAGCAGGAGCTGAATGACCCTGATCGTGTGCCTTATTTTTATCCCATTCTGCCAGTCCCTGTGCAGTCCTTTTAAGATGTGTTTGTATGCGAAGTATCTTCCTGTCTCTGTATGGGAAAGACCGTGGAATATTTGCATGCAAGGTCTCAACGTTACGCCCAGCGTTGCTTACAGTAAAATTGTTCAGATAATTGATATCATAAAGTGACCCCAGTATTTAGGAAAACAGAACGTGATGGTGTGTTCTCTCTCTGCTTAGTGTACGTTCCAGATGAGTGGGAGGTGCCCCGCGAGAAGATCACCATGTGCCGGGAGCTTGGGCAAGGCTCTTTTGGGATGGTGTATGAGGGAATAGCCAAGGGAGTGGTGAAGGATGAGCCGGAGACCCGAGTGGCCATCAAAACAGTCAATGAGTCTGCAAGCATGCGTGAGAGGATAGAGTTCTTAAATGAGGCCTCGGTGATGAAGGAGTTCAATTGTCACCATGTGGTAAGTTGTGAACACGTCACCGGGTGGATTGATACGGCCGTGGTGCTTTAAGGGCAGGAGGTGTTTGGGGCAAGTCCTCACTGGATGAAGAGGTGCTTGGGTTTCAACTCAGCAGCATTAGAATATTGCTGTTCAGCAGCAGTCAGAGAAAACGAATCTGCTTCCAGACATTTCCCACTGGTTCGTGGGTGTCTGGGGCTACGTATCACATGAATAAATGCTTACTGAGTCCAGTTAGTGGGATCTGGAGCTGAGTGTTTGTTTTTCCTCTTCCAGGTTCGCCTTCTAGGTGTTGTTTCTCAGGGCCAGCCTACCCTAGTTATCATGGAGCTGATGACACGTGGGGACCTCAAAAGTTATCTGAGATCACTGAGGCCAGACACAGAGGTGAGTCACGACTTGTTGGGTTTTATTTATTTATTTCTTCGCTCAAAATCATCTTGAGCAAAAAGGTGTCATGTCGGAAGCAGCAGGCAATTAGCCTTTCTTGCCCTTGTCCTTAAGCTCTAAGAACAAAAGATGCTGCTGTGTGATCTGCAACGCTTTTTTTTTTTTTTTTTTATGAGGTAGTTACTGCAAATAGCCCAGTGTGCTGTATGGAATAGGCCCTGTCTTATGGTACTGAGTCTGATTTTCCACATTTGAATTAGATCTCTTGTCTAACCTAATTCTTGTCAAGATGCTGAAAAGATTGTCTTGTTGAAGTATGCACGTTAGGATAATTGTTTCATGTTCTATATCCTGCCTGTTGCCTCTGTTGGAAAATAATTACAAATGAGGCCTATTTAAAAAATCAGTGTGCTTGCTAATACACATACGTACTTCAACATGTAGGCCATCAGCCTAACAGCTAAAATTGCCCCTTATGATGTAGGGTCTGAAAGGTGATACTGAACATTGAAAACATAGTAGACACTGTAGAGAACGAGCACAGCGGTTTTCTTTTGCCACTGGTGGAATAATCTAGAATTTCTGGCACGAGTAATTTACAGGAACAGAATATGAGTACATGGTTATGTGCAACAGAGAATGTATGTGGTATAAATGGAGAGCACTGAATGTATCAAATAGCTGAAGCAATTGGATGCAGAAAATGTCCAGGCTGAATAAGCTATTTAAGCTCTTCAGGTGTAAGTAACAACACCTTTCTTGTTTGTATTCCCTATAATGGCATGGCCAGTGGCCTACTACAAAAGAGCTGTTTGGGAGTTCTATCTGTAAACCAGCTTGTTATGCCCAGTTTTCCCTTTAAGCAGGTGCTACAGTGCTCATCATTTTAAAAAGTATGTTGCAGTTTGGTATAGAAATAGTTTTTTTTTTTTTTTCCTTTTCCCCTTACATGTTTTATCTTCTTAATCCTGCTCAGAGTAATCCTGGCCAAGCACCTCCAACTCTGAAGAAGATGATTCAAATGGCAGGAGAGATTGCTGATGGGATGGCTTACCTCAACGCCAACAAATTTGTTCACAGAGATCTTGCAGCGAGGAACTGCATGGTGGCAGAAGATTTTACAGTGAAAATCGGAGGTGTGTTTTTTGATGTTTACAGGAATGAAAAGCATCGTCCTGAAAAATCGACATCTTAGAAGGTGTTTTAGTTTTTTTTTTTAAATCTGTTTTTAAAATCTTTTTGAGCTTAGCTCTAGTTTCTGCAGAATGAATTATGTTTCATATGAAGGCTAGCTGTGATTTAGGATGTGTGAGCAGTCAACATTGATTTGAAACTCTTGGAATACCTCTCTTTGCTGTTGTTCCGTTGAGGAAGTAGTATAGCATGTGGGCTTAAAAGGAGCGGGTGAGGCAGCGATCTGAGGTGCAGATGCTGCAGACATCTGGGTGTATGGCACAGTTACCACTGGTGTGTCATTTGCTCTTCTGTTAACGCGCAGAAATAATTCTATCTCCTGTTTATTGATTCAAGAAAAACAATTTTAGGATTAATTTTAAAGCATATCTGAATTAGAAGTGGAATGTAAGGCTTGATTTCAGCTGGATGCTTTCCAGTGTGAACTGGAGTGTTGCTTTCCAGACAACAGAATGGCTTTTCCTCTGCTCTGCTGTTAGAACACCACTTATTTTCCCCCTTCACCATTTCTCCAAAACAGTGTCAGATGAGTTTTTTCAGACTTCCCTCCAGAGAGTGATTTTTGAGCTTTTGGCTGTTTTTAAGTTGTGCATATTAAAATAGCATGTATGGTAACAGCCTTCTGCTCTAGGAAACTCATTCTTTTTCTTTGAGCTTAACTCAGCTATTTTGATAATTTGTGTAAGTAATCCTGTCATTTGGGAGAAAGAAAATATGATTTCATTTTGAGTCAGTTAATTAGGAAATGAGATCTTTGGGGAATTATATACATTTTCTGCAGGTTTGAGGAAGTCAGCCTTAAATCCTTTCCATTCCAGTGTTCCTACCCCAGCATGTTTTACAGTTCTGTGATTTGAAGGTGGTGTTTCCCTCCCTTTAACATAGTGCATGGTTACCTAAAAAGCATTTCATGAAATATGCTGCACTGCTCTTGTTCATGTGCCTGTGTTAAAAATCCCATCATATGGGCACAGTCTAGGAACATCTTGGCTGGAACACGCCAGATCAGACTGCTTAGATCTCAAAGGAGGAGCTTTGTGTTGTGCTGTCCTATGCTCATTGCGTTATGTCTCAAAAGAATTTTCCTTTCTATTGGGGGTAAGATCAGCCTGGTGTGTGGGAGTGATGGAATGGCTGCACAGATGGGGCTGTTAGTCAGGATCACTGGGGTATCAGCAGCTCTAGCAGGTAAGGAATGAGAAGGATCAAGGTCATACAAGCTATAGGCTTGTAATAATGACTGTGAGAATTGATTAAGCTGGAGGACTTCTCTTTTCACTCCACATTTCCAAGACAAAAAATGGTAAACTGAATTTTGTCCAAGCCCTTCTGTTTCAGCAGATAGCATTTAATTTAGTAAGCAGTTTGATCACACGTGATTTACTAAATGTTTGTTAATATCTGGAAGTGAAGTTGCTTGCGTGAGTAGGCTCGTACAAGGCCCAGCCAGTCTGTGTGCATCAAGCTGATGGTATGGAAAAAACTGGAAGGAGTGAGTGCCAGTCAGATGGTGTTAGGCCAAGCCTTGCAAATGCTTACGTATTTCCAGCTAAGGGCATGATACGTGTAACTGGGAGTGTGGCTTTAATAGTGGTCTGCATTAGTCATAGATGAATAGCTTAATCCTCTGTGGAATTTGAGGTAGAATATTACGTAGGAACTGAAAACTTGCTTTGGAGAAAGGAAAAAATTGAGAGAAGCCCTTCCCTCAAAATGTGAGATTCTTTAATTAAAGGCAATAGGATAAGTAATAAAAGAGTTATTTGCATTCTTTAAAAAGAAAAAGAAAACAAACACTGAACTATTGAGCAGATTTGTGAATGCTGTGAACTTCAGAAGATATAACTTGCTGCAAGGCTTGGACATAAACCGCAGAGCTTTCCTTAATAATATATTTAAATCATTCAGAGCTGATCTGGATCCAGCTCTGACCGCTGATGTCCGTGGTAAAAATGCCTGCTGGTTTTGCTGGGAGAAAAGGCAGCCAGCCCTAGGCAGGCAGGTAAAGGTCTGCTGACAGGTGGCAGATTCTTTGTACCAAGCTGTGGTTATTTGCTGATGACAGTGGCTTGTAGTAAGGTGAAACGTTCGTTGTTTCATCATGCAGACTAACAAAACCTGTGCCTTCTAGATTTTGGCATGACAAGAGATATCTACGAGACAGATTATTACCGGAAAGGAGGGAAAGGTTTGCTGCCCGTCCGCTGGATGTCCCCGGAATCACTGAAGGATGGAGTGTTCACGACGCACTCCGATGTCTGGTAACAAAAAAGGGGTTTTGGAAAAGCAGTTTTAGCCCCCTTCTTTCTGGTCTCTGCTCTTATTTTCCTAGATTTAATTAAGTATCCTGCTTCTTCTGGCTCCTCAAAAGTAGCTCTCGTTATCCACTGCAAAGCTTTTTACTTTCTGTTGTTTCTGTTGCAAAAATCAAGGGCTCATGAGGTTATTCTGCCCTCAGAGGCAGAGCCTTAAATGGATTTCCAAAGCTGGATGTGCAGCTTATTTCCTGCTGTGAGTTGTAAAATCACTTGTGCAGTGAAGAACATTACCTTCACCTGGAAGAGCAAGTTGTCATTTTTCAAATTGCCCTCCTTCAAGAAGAGCATTATAAGTTGCCAAGAATATGGAAAGGTTCATGGTGCTGACCTGCTTTTCTATCAAAACCTTCTGTGTAAATAGCTCTACTTTCTTGCAGACGGTTTGTGTACACTACCAATTTTTTTCTTTGGAGCTCTCCCTCGTGTATATTCTCCTCCATTTGGGGCTTTGTTTGCTTGCTTTATATACCGCAAGATGCGGAAATAGGTTTTTCTTTAAAAGCACATTGCTCAGTTGCTGTATCTATGAAGTTATTAATAGAGGCGTTCAGGAAATTTCAAAATAAACTTTTTAGTAGAAATAATACTCTGGAACATTCCACTGTCCTTCTCACCCCCACCCCCCCACTGCTTCTTTCTGCTTTTGCAGAAAGAGAGAGAGGCCTTGGCAAAAGATGAATGTGTACTGGCAAAACCTCTGCCTCTACTCAGACTTTTATGGTTTCTCTGCCTCCTTAACAAGATGTTTTTACTGCTGATTTGTTACAGAATTGGCAGCTGATTGCCTCCAAGTGCCTAAAAGTCAGTAGAAATAGTATTTTAGTAGTAAACTGTGTTTTCTTTAAACAGCTTGAGGATTTTGGAGTCAGTGGGCTGCGATCCACAGCATCAACTTCGAAAAACAAGTGGAAAAGCAAAGCATCAGAATGTTACTTTGTTTTTGTTGTTGGTTTTTTTTTTTTTTTTTTTTTTTTTTTTTTGTATATGGCTAATAACTTATGTATTCAGTAACCTCAAACTTGGAATTCAATGAAAATATCCACTTTGAGTTGAAGGGGAACCCCACATCAGCCATTCACCTAACAGAACCACGCTTCTGGCAGTCCCTCTGTAGTAAAACAATTCTGGGACATGTAATGGCTTCACAAAGCAGACAGATCTGAAATACATCACTAGAAAAATCCCCAGATTTAGAAGTGAATTTAGCTTAGAGTGAAGAGCTGGCAGATCAGCCTCTTCTAACCACCAAACAGGAACTTCCAAGTCTGGCCCTCATCTTCAGCCTTTGTTTCACGTCTGTAGCAGATCAGCTCTTCAGCTTTGTTGATGTATTGCTGTTGTTCATGCAAATTTTCCTATTCACCTGCAACTCCTAAGTGGCATTTTTGTTTAAAGTGAACTTGGATTCCAAAACACACCAAAGTAACAGACGAGATGCGAAGTTCAGTGTCATTACTGAATTTGTGCTTCAGTTGTTGCAGGAAGTGTATGTGTTCTCTTAGAGTTAACAGAACACAATGTTCATTGTCCAAAGCAAGACTGATCAAACAGGATTGCATTTTACTAGTGGGACATGGAATGTACTGTATCCAGACTACTGCAGACATCCCATAAAGGAAAGCTGCTCACTGACAGGAGTGTTAGAAAACATAGGGGAGAAAAGTCAGATCTGACAGATCTGTAGTTGTAAGCATAGAAGGAGGAAGGCATCAACTGCTGGACTGCAGCTCCACAGATCGCATCAGTACTTCAGTTTCCTCTTGGCATGGTTTGTGACTGCTGAAGTGATTTTTTTTCCTAAAATTCAGCTCATTTGGGGATGCTACCTTGAGGAACAAAGCAGCTGGTTCCACACGAGGAACTTGTTTAGAATGTGTAATGCCTGCATTTGCCACATATTCATGGATAGAGATTGTCTTCATTTTTAATTCAGATCAAAAATTTTCAGTGTTTTCCTCTAGTTTGCTTCTCAGTAACTTTTAATTGTGTACCTTGAAGGCCTCTTCATACCCAGGAATAATCACCTGAGTCCCCGTGTTGAAGTTGCTTTATGAAAACTTGCTGAGCCATTTTTTTTGAGGGGCCATTCATGTTTTTTTTCAAACAATATATTACAAAAAAAAGTAGATAGTTCTTCTCTGCCTCTTTGGTAGGAAATTGTGACATCTGGTTCCATGTTCTTAGAGATCAGTTTTAGAAGCCAAAATGTCAAAAAGACAAAACTACAAGTGGTCAGAGTGCAAGATTTATAAGCTGTAAGGTGAAATGGCAAACTGCACAAGAGTGTCTGGAGGTTTTTAAGGGTGGAGCTTTATTTTGGCAATTCATTCTTTTATTGCTCTCCAGGCTGAAGAATGAGGTAATTAGACAAGAGTGTTGTTGTTGTAGTTGGAAAGAACACTTGTTGTGTAGGAGAACATTTTAAAATGAGTGTAATACTATTCAGGATGAGGGTGTGCTTCTGTAAATAAGTCTTCAGCATCTTGCATTCTTCCTGAGATAGTGGTTGCCTTGAAGGAGCAGTGTACGTGTATTTGTTACGGTAATGTGGCTGGGAGGTGTGCAGAACTTGCTCTCCTTATTTCTGCAGCGATCAAAGCAGCTTCAAAGCCATCAAGGTGCTGAACTGACCCTCTGTTCCTCCCTCCCCTGAAAGGCTAACAGCTGCAGGTCTGTCTGTGGCTTCTGGCTTCAGTTACAAGCCGCTTCACATCCAGTGTATAACAGAAAGGTAACCATAACAGAAAGGTAACTGTACCATAACCAGCTAATAGTGCTGGACCCCTGGTTACACAGCAGTGTCCTGTCACAGCCATGCTTTTGTCTCTAAACTTGACTCAGCATTTTAGCCACAGAAGTAAAGACAGCAGCTAGATTTGTTCATTGCGCAGCAGCTCTAAAAGTAGATGACTGTAGGGCAGACAATTTGATCTGTCTGCTCAATAAACTAATTTTAAATCGAGGTATTTTTAGAAAGTGTCGATATTTACATCTAAACTATCCAATTACATAATTGTGTTTATCTTTATTCACCAGTAATCAATTCTTCTTATTAGACCAACTTCTTGTTTTTCACTTCTACTGTCCTTTGTAGTTAGTTGGGAAGTTAGGAGCTCTGTTTCGGGGTGTTGCTAAAAGGGTAGCTGGGTTTCTTCCTGTGACTTAGCTGTACTGCTGAAGCAGCAAAGTGTAAGGCCTTTGTTCAAGGAGCTGGAGAACATTTCTGCTGCTTCTCAGCCTTTTTCACAGATCACTTCCGTTAGTTGTTTCTGTATTTTAAATGCCTTGATCCTTACTTTGCGTTTTTTACTTAGAACGTGGAGGAAATCAGAGCAGAGAGACAAATGGAAAGTATTGCTCAGTGTTTCTGCCTGGGGAACAGAGGTTGGTTGGTTTGCTTCTAATGGGGAGGCAGCTGAGATACACAGGTGTGGTGGGTGCATTTACTGTTTAGCTCTCTGCTGCCTGGAGTGGTAGGGAAAAATGGAAGCTTTGAAATGAAATTTGTGTGACTCGAGGATTTCTGACAAAAAGAAGCTTGCGCTGAAAAGAAAGCTTAGAGTTCTGCTTCACTGTCATCTCAGCTGCTATCAGCAGTGCCTGAAAGATGTCACATGAAGACTTTGGGTTTCATTTCTTTAATGCACAGAGTTGTTGTTTTTTCCTTGTTGTCTCTGTCACTTTGGGGCCGGTTGGTCATTCTTTAAAAACCCACCTCTGCAGCAGCTCCCCAACCTGCACAGGAGTTTGATAGGAACAGTATTCTTTTTCCTTCTTCCCTTACCTGCATCTTTCCTTCTCTGCTGTTCTTCCTACCTCCCAGGGCGCCTTGAATCTGAATTCAGAGCTGTGGGAGAGGGAAGTGAGGTTTGTACAGATCGTCCAGACAAGTGCCCAGCTTAGCTGTCCTCTGAATTAGGAGGCTTCTGGTCAGTGCAAGGAGCCTGTGATGGCTTTTCTTAGTGATCGACCTTTGCAGAATCATTATAAAGAAGCAGTGTTGGACTACTGAATAATCATGATCAGCTCTCACCTGTAAGTTACGGTGTGAAAATTAAGAGATTTTTTTGTAAGAGAAAACTCCCCCAAAAACCAACCTGCTCAGCATCATCAAAAAAAAATATCCATGTAAACATTGCTTGGCTTTCTAAAATTATTTTGTTTTCCAGGTCTTTTGGTGTTGTACTTTGGGAGATTGCAACATTAGCGGAGCAGCCGTACCAAGGCATGACCAATGAGCAAGTGCTCCGCTTTGTGATGGAAGGAGGTCTGCTGGAAAAACCAGACAACTGCCCTGATATGCTGTAAGTGTCAGCAGTTACCACTGTCTCAGTGCTCAGTTTATTCTTCATGATCCCTTTGTGCCTGCTCCTGCCCTGTCTGCCACAGGAGAGGCTATTAAGATGTGACTGCAATGCAAGATGCTGTTTGAACAGTCTCTGTCAATCTTCTGTGTTGTAGTAATTAGAGTTACCATCAAACACCTTTGCTTGTGGGCAGAATCTCACATTGGGCTCTTTAATAAGGAAGCAACACCCAATCTCTGTGTTCCTAACTAAATTTACATTTAATAACAGCTCATAAGTGTCATCTGCTGCAGCAGAAAATGTTGTACCTGTATCTTGTGTCTTCTGCTTCAAGTAAGTCTGTTGGGGGTTAGGAGAAAAAAGAGCTTAGTTATATTGCACTTAAACTCTATGCAATGCAAGTTTTCAGTTCGGCATAAAGATAAATGAATCCTTCATTCCTATGTCTGAAGCAGCTTTGGATCTGCCATGTCGGTCGCTGCTCATTGCATTTAGGTAAACAAGTCTGCCCAGCCAACAGTTTCCTGCCCTGTGAGCACAGAAAGAGGAACGCAGAAAAACCTTTGTCTACCCCTCGAACCCGCACAAAGCCTTACAGCCGAGCAGCATGCAGCACAGCAGGCTTCGGTTTTTAGCTTTACATTGCTGAAATACTTCTGCTGGCTTTGGTGTGCAGCAGTTTCAGTTGTTCAGACTTTATTACTTTGATATACTTCCCAAACTGGCTTTTGGGAAGGAAATACTGCATCTTGCAGTTATTGAAATTTGTTGGAGGCCCGCAGAAGGGATACAATCACTTAAGGGCCTCAGCTGCTTGAGATTCTTAGGAAAAGAGCTTTTTTGGCTGGCCGGCTGGCTCTGGTTTCAGATGACAGGCAGTGTTGTTTTTGTTGTTTGAGGGGGGTGGGTGTATGTGCAGGGGGAGGTGTAGTGCCATGTGATTCCTCAGTTTCACATTCTTTCCTTTCCACGATGCTGTGGAGAATTTCTGGCAGGCGGATCGACCGGAGATTGTTTCACATGGTGAGCGCCGTGTAATGGAGGCAGGGGTGGGGCGGAACGGGGCTGTGAGGGGCTCTGGGTAAGGCTGCTCTGATCCCCGAGTCAGCAGGGAAAAATGAGCTCTGCAGTGAGAGCAAACTTGACAAGAGTTTCAGCATCAGAAATTCCACATTAACCTGGGGCATGTGTGGTATGGGCAAGGCGAAGGGAAGGTCTCACCGCTGCAGCCCATCCTCTACTCTCCTTATTCCTTGAGACTAATCCTGTGCTCATGGGCACTGCTTTCACCAGGTCTGCTTTCAGGGTGACCAGCATGTCCTTGCGTTGCTGTAAACCAGCAAAAACCTTCTTTGTGCCGATTTTAAATGAAGCTGTTCACAACTGATGGTTGTTAATAGCCATCAAAACTAGGTGAACATGGCAGAGGGGCAGAATGAAAATACCTTCCTTTTATTTTAACTTCTTTCCATCGGAATAAGAAGCAGAACTAAGGCACATCCAGTTATCCAGATTAGTGACGTCTCTTATTTTGTCAGTAGAATTGTGAAAAAAAGATCCTAACTTTGTCCAGATGCTGAAAGAAATTGAATGCATTGGCCTTAGAAGTGTATTGTGACTTGCTGTAGCCTCCTTTCAGCTTATTTTGTCTTTATATTAGGACATTCGCTCTAGCCTGCTGAAATTCAACGAGGCTGCTAAGAGAATAGCAGTAGGGAGCTCCAAAAGTAATTTTTACCTTTTCTCCACATATATGGCATCCAAAGAACCTATTCTACGTGACTATAGTGCCTGGGTTTTTTTGCACTGCTTTTCCCATTGTCTGTCCTATTGGCCCCAGGTTGGATGTAGGTGCTGTGCAGCACTCAGCAGCTGGTGCAATCACAGCTCACTGTTACTGCTGGTAGTCAGGGAGGTGCACTGGGGGCAGAGTTGCTTCTCTCCCTCCAGCTGTCTGATTACCCACTCCCCAGTGTGGGACATTATTATTGAACCTACTGAAAGATGCTTGTAGCAGAGTTGCAAACATGTGTTCCCTGTGCTAGATACTGATCTGTATGACTGATCTGTGGTACTTACTATTAGCTCACAGTATTAACTCAAGATGCCCAGAAAGCAAAGCCTGCCTGCTGCAGGCAAGTCAGCATATTTCTGGTGCTCAGCAAACCAGAAGTGGAGCTAGGAGCATACCTCGTGGTAGGAGGTGACTGCAGATGTATTTTTTATTTAAATTGCTTTGACAGGTGAACAACTAAAATGTAATAATGAGAGGATGTTATCTAATGTAGAAAACAAATTTATCTTTCTGAAGAGAGGGAGAAATATACTGACACACAAAAACGTCCAGAACAGGTGGAGTAGGTGTTCTCCTGTGAGGAAGCGTGGATGAGAATAGAGAGAAGAATCTTTCTGCAACTGACACCGAACCGACTATTTTTAACCTTGCAGATGATGTGAGTGTTGACACAGCCGTGCACACTCCAGCCACAGCACAGCAGTTCTTGTAAGGGCCTCTTGTTGCCCCCTGTGTGAATGCTACGTGGTGCAAGCAGTCTTGGCTGTTCCATCTCTCCTAAGACTGCAATGCCTGTAATGCTTGTTAGTGGCTGTGCTTTGCTAACCCCTGCTAGCAGAGAGCCATCAGCTTTCCCAGCGGATCAGAGACCAAGGACACTTGAAGAGCTGGAGGGGTTCTGTTCTGCAGCGTGGATGTATCGGATGGTTGTGCAGAGGTGGATTTTAAGGCACGGTTGTCTTGTGGGTCAGAGAAGTGGTAAATCACTGTGAAGGGGCTGAGCACAAAGACGACGGTATTTCTGCAGGCTTTTCACTCTTGCACAGGGTGAAACAAGACTCAGCTCTGTTTATGCTACACCCTCTTGGCATAGTTTGCATGATTTTACAGACAGAACCATGCAGTAAGACAGATGGTTCAATAAGACGGTGCCAGGAGAAGCTTTGCTGTTTTTCTCCTCTTCCTGTGTAATAAGTAAAGTTTTTATGTACTACCATTGTTAGGCAGCGTTTGTCAGGTGATGGCTGCGTGGCAAGAAGATTACAGCTGAGGCTCTCAGACAGTGTGTTCCCATGGGGCTTTTAAAAGTTGTGTAGGCTGGAATTCCACTCTGCTTTTGAAGTAAGACTTGCTTCCCCCACATGTAGATGGCTAGACTGTTTACGTAGTACTGATTTTTCCTTTGTTCCTGGCACTCACTTGGTGTGAGGGTCTGCTCTCCAGAGGTAACACCAGCATGCAGCAGCAGCAGGGCAGGAGAGCTCGCTGCTCTTTTCTCCATCAAATCACGTCCGATGCAAAGCACAAGTGCACGCTCAAATGGAATGCAACTTCTGTAGTAACTTTCCATTTTTGTTTTTTTAATGTCTCAGTGCAAGAAGTAACCACGTTTCTGCACCAAATGAGTGTTCTTTGTGCAAAAGATGCATTAGAGTGGCACTGCTTATTCCCCAGTCTAATTCCTCCAGCTTCCTCAGGCTCACTCGCCACCAGCCAGAAACACACTCGATAAAAGTACTTGGGTTGTATTAGCAGCCTGTAAAGTCTTCCATTGTCTGCTGGAAAGTTTTTTTTAAGATAATGTAAACAAGGTCTTAGAGCCCACAGAGTTAAAAAGAAAAGAAATATCCTTTTATGGGAACTCTGTAGGGTTTTTAAATCTGGAATGGATTAAAAGAAACATCACATGTCCTTGTTTGTGCTGATGTCACATGCATTACTCCACTGCTTGTGGTATCTCCTTAGCATTGCCCTTAGGCCTCAGGGCGAAGTGCCAGTGAATATCCAGTGTTCTTGGCTCCAGCCGAGGCTGCTATTCAGGGACGCAGCAGTCAGCTGGAAAGGAAACAGCAATGAAGTAACAGAAATGGATTTTATATATTTATGTCTCAAGCTTTCCTCCTCGGTTGTGGGTGAGGGTGTAATACAGTTTTATAGTTTGGCTTCACTTTCGCTATGAAAATCTCTTAAAGACTCGAAAACAAGCAATAGCTGAGCAGTGTTTGTGTGTCTACGTGCCCGTTACCATACGGCGTTGAGGAGCAGGGCATTTGCACAGCACAGCCAGTTTTGCCAGCTTCTTTTGGGTGTCACAAGGCCATGCTCAGGTGGTTGGCTTCTGTTCACACCACGTTGTGCCAGCCAAGCTCTCACAGCAATATTTGTGAATTCAAATGCACTTCAATTAAGATCACTTTTGTTTTGGTTGAAGTGCTCTCAGCAGTGTTTGCATCCCAAACACAGCAGCCTTCCCCCGTTTTGCTGGTTCTGGTCGGCTGGGAAGGCATTTCCCTGGCAGAGATTTGAGTGGGAGGGACTGCTTTGTCTTGGTTCTGGTTCAGGCCAGGGCTGTGCATTGGTGCAGCATGTGTGGAGCAGGGCTCCAGCACGGTGACAGTCATGTTGCAAGGCTTACTCCAGGGCAGTGACCCTTCAGAAAGTAGGGCCTTAGTCTGTGGTAGACTTGGGAGCTATCCAAAAAAAAAAAGAGTGTGTTTTTGTTTATTTGGCTTTGTCTTCTTTAATGAAAAAAAAAAAAAGATCCACACGCTGATGCAGAGACCCGGTGACCTGCTGTGAGGGCCAAAGGCAGTGCAGACTAACTGAAGTATAACATGGAATTTCTTGCTTACTTTTGACTATCTGTAAAGGAAAAACACCTGTGCAAGTTAAGAAAATGATGTACATATTAGTGATTGTTTTGTGCTTTTGTTTTGCCAGCATGGGACGTTGTGCAGGCTTGTTTGTGGATGTGCTTGAACAGACGATCTCAGGCTCCTTAAAGCATTATGCTTCCCAGGATGTAAATGAAAACAACGTCATTTTAAAATAAAAGATTAGAGAATGTTTTTGAGATTTGCAAATGCCTTTTGGATATTTCAATTTTAACATAATTTTCTTCTTTTCAAGGAAAAAAAGGGCTTTTTTCTTACCTTGTATTTCCTAATCTTTTTTTTTTTTTTTTTTCCAAACACTATTGGTAGAATAAGAACTGATTTATTTGAAAAGATGCTCTGAGAGGTGCTATCAAGCCTCTGGGTAAGTAGAGGATGCTTTGGAGGAGAACCAGGGAAGTGCCGCAATACAGAATGTTGCTGGATGTCAGGTGTTGCTGGACTGCTTTATCAGCAGGCGTGTGTGGAAGGGGGTTGAGAAGGTTTAGATCGGAGCAGTAGAAGTCAGTCAGCGGTTGGAAAGCAGGTCAGCGTGTGTCACAGGGATGTCAGCCTGAAAACATTCTGTCACTTCGTCTCCCATCTTTGTGAAGCGACTTTCTGAGACGCTCGATCTGATTCAGTCACGGCCGGTCGCACTCCAGTCAGGGCTGGTAAAACACCCCAGTAAATGGATTTGCTGTGTGTTTCCCGTCCAGGTTTGAACTGATGCGCATGTGCTGGCAGTACAACCCGAAGATGAGGCCCTCCTTCCTGGAAATCATCAGCAGCATTAAGGACGAGCTGGATCCGGCGTTCAAAGAGGTCTCCTTCTTCTACAGCGAAGAGAACAAGCCTCCGGACACAGAGGAGCTTGACCTGGAGACTGAGAACATGGAGAGCATTCCTTTAGATCCCTCCTCTACCCTCCAACCCACTGACAAGCACTCAGGACACAAAGCCGAGAACGGCCCGGGCGTGGTGGTGCTTCGGGCCAGCTTTGAGGAGAGACAGCCGTACGCACACATGAACGGGGGACGCAAGAACGAGCGGGCCTTGCCGCTGCCCCAGTCTTCGGCCTGCTGATCCTTAGACCCAGAATCTGACAGAAACAGAACGCAGAAAAACGCGTGTATTGGGGGAAGAAAGAAAGAAAACTACAATATATTCAAATGCCCTACTGTACCTCAGTGGATCTTCAGAACTGCCATAGCTGCACTTGGGAGAACCCTTTTTTTCAGTAAACAAGTTATTGTTTTTTTTTTCTTTTTTTCAATATGCAAGCAGATGTTTGTTTCGGTAAAGGACTCCATTCATGGGGCACACAGTTGGCCTTTTAAAACTCTAATGTTAACACTTAATAGCAACAGAAAACTTGAGATTTGATGTCTCTCTCTCTCTCTCTCCCCTCCCCCCCCCATCTCTTTCTTTCTGTCTGTCTTTGCTTCATAATGGGAAACATATCTGCGTGCAAGTTCAACCGTACGGCACTTTTATCAGATCAAAGATATCGCAGGCCAGGTGGCTCCCTGCTCCCCTGCAAGCACCTGCCTAACACTGTAGGTCTTTATTTAAAAAAAGAAAAAAGAAAAAAGAAAAAAAAAAAAGAAAAAAAGAATAAAAAACCCAACAAAACAAACAAACAAACAAACAAAAAAAACACAAAAAAAACCCACAAAAAAAAAAAAACAAAAAAAAATTAAAAGACTGGATTTTTAATGTTGCTCTTTAAACTTTTTAGAAACGTGTAAAAGAATAAAAAAGGGCCATCATTCGTCCAAGGTTGTTACCATTTTCAACGCTGCCAAATTTTGCCAAAAAAAAAAAAACTTTTTTTTTTTTGTTTTTTGTTTGTAGGCATGGAAGGAGCACAGTAATCAACTGCTCTGTTTAAGAGAGATCCTGACCAATACATTCTATTCAATCATACACTGGTATTAAAAGAAAAAAAAATAAATTGTTTAGGTTCTTTTTTTCAAAACTGGATAAAATGTGATAATTTTTTTTTTCTTGTGATGGAGAAGATAAAAGGGATGGAGTAAAGAGACAGCCCTCCCTCCACCCCGTGCCCATCCCGATGAATTCTGGACAAAACTGGCAGTGGTGAGCTAAACCAACACACGCATTTGGTACAAAAAAGTCAACCGCACGCCAAAAATGAGATGTGAGAACCATGACAAAAGCGGCAGAGATCTCCATCGTTGCAGCCTGCCTTCCTCTGCAGGCTTGCAGGGAAAAAGCACCAATAAAACAAAAATTGGAGAAGACAAAAAAAAGCAGTAACCGGATTCAAGTATATAATGCTTTGTTGACCTTTTCTCTTTATTATTAAGACTTCTCGAAGGGTCTTGCAGTTCTATGTTAGACCATGGATCATTTGCATACACATTGTCTTTTGTGTCACTTTTATAACTTTTTTACGGTTCAGATACTCATCTATATGTCTGTACAGAAAAAAGCTGCTATTTTTTTTGTTCTTTATCTTTGTGGATTTAATCTATGAAAACCTTCAGGTCTGCCCTCCTTCCCTTCCCTCCCACTTCAACAAATTTTCTTATGCTTTGTACTATAGTGTGTAACTCTTACTTCTTCCTTCCCAGTAACTGATACCTTTCATATGATTTGCCATGAACTGTTTAATGCCTTTTTATAAAAGCATTTCCTCCTCTTTTTTTTTTTTTTTTTTTTCCTTCCATTAGTTGTTTTACAACATCTTGGCTGTGTGGGTCACAGGGCTTTTGAGGAGGACATGGAGAAAGAAGGGACGCCCCACACCGAAAGCTCCAGCAGCGGTGTGGTGTTTTTCAGACCCAGTTTTCCTTCCTTCCCACGAACCTCTGCCCAGACAGCATGCGAGTCTGTTACAGTGCAAGGCATGATACAAACTCAGGTCAGAAAAAAAGGTTAAATATTTAGTACATTCTTGTTCAGTGTTTATATTCATTGTTGTACAAGGTCCTGCTCCTCCTTCCCTCCCTGCTTGTTTAGATTGTGGCACACACCCACCCACCCATCCCCACACACACTCCCACACGGACACACACGTACACACGCACTCTCTTTTTGTTTGTTGGGTACAACAGCAGACACCAGGCTTTTGGGTCACTGATTTTGAAAATGACAATTTGAACTCTTCCACCTCTTGAAGAAGAGCTGTGTGGCTGGTGGTGCCAGGCACTTTTTGGGTGGCCGTTGAACACCTGGCTCCAGCCCCAGCTCTATGCCTTCCCAGTGAGGAAGTCCTCCTGGAGGACGCGGTGGGCTGCATTTTGCACCCCAAGGTAAATAGAACTAAAAACACGAATCGACAGCATGCCATTTCCATGGGGTAGGGTGGAAAGCATGTAGCTGGGGCCAGCGGCTCGGCTAGCAAACAGTTAAGTATTGGCAGCTATGGAAACCTGTACAAGTCCAAGCCTGTTGCTTAAGTCATAGACCAAACCTCAGAACAAAAGAAAATGAGTGAGCTTGTTTGTTCAGTTGCAGAAGCCTTGGTGAAAAGGGAAGGAGGGGGCCATCATAAAGCCTACAACCAAGGAGTCATAGCAGTTGCTCATCTTAGTTACAGCATCTAAGCCTTTGTTTAGCACTGATCCAACCAACTGATGGCAGTGAAGAGGTGGTTCTGGGATGGAAATGTCTAAAACCTTTGAGTAAGAACAAAGAATTAAAATATACTGATTGCTAGTTTTGACTGGAGATTTTTAAAAGTTTGTAGTGCTTTTTGCTTGTGTAGTTTAGGTCCCATTATCTTCTCTTGCCTCTGTCCCATAGTTATTTTTCCCTTTTAAAAATGAAAAAGACAAAAAAGTTAATTAAGAAGGTATTCTATGTAGGATTTTTTATTTATTTTTGTGATATCAGTTTAAATCACTGTAGAGATGCCCCATAATAAATTTAAATACTGAGATAAGGGTTTTTGAGTATGACAGGGGGACAGTTTTTGATTTTTTTCAAACATTTATCTACCTCACTCTTATTTTTTTATATGTGTGTATATAAAAAAAATACATCTCACATTTCTCAGCAGCCAATAAATGCCGTCGATACTGGTAACCTCTCACTCCATAAACCACATGCTCTAGGTTCTGGAGGGGAACAGTCACCGCTCATCACAAAGGGTCACTTCAGAATATTTGCCTCAATTCCAAGGAGTTTTGCCTTTTTAGTTCCAATCTGATACTGTGAGGAAAATCCGAGAGTTGCCTGACTTAAGGTGATTGTTCATTAAGGAAACACGAGGGCTTTTTAATGGGCCGTCGTGGCAGCGCTCAGGTCAGCAGCAGTGCTGCTGCATGTTTAGATGGGTGGAGATCTGACCTGATACAAGAACTTTCAGTCATGAGTTTCGATCAAATTTGCTACAGAAATGTTTACAGTGTTTGAAGGTCCAGAAGAATTACTAGAATAAAAAGAGTGGTCTGTTTGGCCCAAGTCATTCCTGGCAAATTTTCCTCAGATGCCGCAAGCACCAAAAAGACATTTGGCTGAATCAGCACCCATTTGGCTCACGTAGCATAGTGTTGCTTTTTTTTTTTTCTTTTGACCAACACAATGACAAACCTGTTGCGGGCTGCCTGATGATAATACCACGTCGAGTTTACAGCTTTGGATCTTTGCTGCTTCTGTTTAATGAGAGCACTGATTTTTTAATTTAATTTAATTTTATTTTCTTGTTTTGTTTTTGTTCTCAAAACTAACATAGAATTGAATTTTTTGATGTGCCAGTAAAGTCAGTTTCCCTTTTCATCCCCCGTTTATATGCTTCATAACTGTGGATTCTGATGGACCAGCCATCAAATTTTAACTGCCCTCTGACAGCGTGTAACTGGTTTACAAGCACACAGGACTAACACAGGCTTGCCATCAACATGATGTATAATGTTTCTCTTTTTCCAGCTCAGGCAGCTGTTCGTGCAGGTGTTGGTTGTGGTATCTGAATAATGCGATGCTTGGCTACTTCGAATTGCATGCGGCCTCTTGAATATACAGTGTGATTAAGTGCTACAGGGCTTGTCTTTGGAGGGATCATTTCTCTCAGACTCTGAAAAAGCAGCAAATTTAAAGTTGTTACTGTGTCCTTTTTGTCTTTCAATTTCTTTGAAGCTTCCAGTGACCTTTTGGTGTAGTGACTGTTCCCCTCACTTGCACATATTGATTACCACAACTGGAGATCCTCAGATCTTTCAGCTGGCTAGGAGGGTTTTGTTAAAACTGTCCAAGTTATTGGTTTTTATAATTTGATGTAGGTGGTTTAAAAATGTGTTAGGAAGAAACACTAATGACGTAGCACCCATTGTGATAGACATTTCAAAAAGCACTTCAGTAGAAAACAGTCACGGGACTAAAAGTACGCGTGTGTGATGACAGTCAGCTCTCCTGGACCAAACCACCTTCATGATACCATTGTGTTCTGTGTTTGCAATTCAGGCTTAATTACTTTTTTGTTCTGTTTGTTTCCATAGCGTTTTTTTGTTGTGTTTTGTGCATTTTGAATAGCTTTATTCACATGGGCTTTTCATGCAGACTTCCCTTGGACAGTAAATCAAGTTGTTTGTGCATGTGAACAACTGAGAATTAATGTTGGCTTGATAGAGTCATAATATGGTTTGTAATGTTGTTCTTTCCTGAGACCACTGGCTTGTCTGGTATGGTAGATTTATTCAGAACTTCGGCTATGTTTGAATAAGGTTCAAGTAATCCAATTTCCTTATGAATTAAAAACAAAAGCCCACCCAGCCCCAAAACCCAGCGTTTTGCAAGCATTACCAAGCTGTTTTGATGCAGTAGAATAACAAACTGGCATCAGCATCGGGGCAGGCTTTGATTTCAGCACTCGGGCCATTGTTCTCACCTGACTCACATTTAAAAGCTTCTCAGTGGCACAGAAGGTGGTTTGGTTGCAAAGGAAGGTGGCTCCTGTGTAAACACAGAAGTGTCAGCTGCTTGGTACTAAGAAGCGCTTTTGAGCGAGAGATGAGTTGGACACAGAAGCCAGGCGTGATCAGAAGTTCGAGGCCAGCCTGTGTTCACCAGGTCTTTCTCAGCGCGATGCCTCTGTTCTTTAAAGCTGGTTCTAAGTGATGTATGATTCTAGAGATGTTCGCACTGATGCTCCTGTTGGTCTTTAAAAACAAGTGAAGCCCAGTTTGCCCAGGACCGACTGGTCATGAGACGGAACCGCTGTCGGGTCCTCTGGGAACTGCCGAGGATTGTTCCATACAATCTGAGTCTAAGCGAACAACGCTCCTGTTGTTGGTGTAACTCCATAAATATATATCTATATGGACATAGATATCCGCATATGTATATCTATAATATAGATATATATATATTTAAACCCTATTCATTCCACTAGTACAAGTAACACTTGTTTCCTGTTGTTCTTATTTTGTTTGTCAACAGTGTATTTAATCACTGGGCTAAACAACAGCGGGGGAAGGTGCAAGGGGTCCACTCCTTACTAACCAGTGATAAAAGCCAGATATTGCAACTTAACCCATGAGTAGTTGTGCAGACAAGAATTTAAGAATGGTGTGTAGAAAAAAACAGTAGTGGCCAAAGGTGCTGAAGATACAGAACTGTAAATAGGCAGGAGGGCATCAAAGGTTGCCTCAGTTCAGAAAACTGGTTGCTCAGAGGCAATAAGCAGTCTCTGTTACGGAGTGCAGCCAGGTAAATCAGAACTGAGAAGTGTTTATATGGAGACATCTGAAAACAAAAGATATGGAAATGGATATTTACGAAGACACAGGGCTTGGCAGAAGTTTGAAGTTGTTTCCTGAGCTTGGTGTGTGTGGGACAGCAGCAGAGCTCAGGTATCACCATTCTGATCATTGGTACTTGTAAATAAACCTGACTTTCCAGCTGAAGTGGTAAATTCATAACAGGAGTTTAATGGTTGTTGCATCGGTCTGTATGAGTCAGTCTCAACCTACTGTTGGTCTGTTTTGCAAGTACTAGATTATCACTAGGATGTGTGCGTGCGTATGTGTGCATGTCCACCTTTTTTTGTACGTGTTATGTTGATTAGTAATCCATTAGCATTTTCAATAGGGCTTTAAGTCCAGTAGATTACGGGTAGTCAGTTGACGAAGATCTGGTTTACAAGAACTAATTAAATGTTTCATTGCATTTTGTAAGTACATAGAATAATTTTATAAAATGTTTGTAGTTTATTAATGCCTAAAATATAATTTAAGGGCACTTTTTCTGTCTGTGTGTGCGTGTGTCTGTATGAGATCAGTTTTCTTTGATGGTACCAGTTTACTAGCTAGCTTTACGATATGCCAAAAAGGATCGCTAACTTGTCCAATTCAAGGCTCATCCCTCTCCCACTACCTGCCCAAGCTTTGTGTCCCAGTATATAGCGAGCGAATAAAGAATAAAGAAGTTGGGGGAATGTTCTGTATCTTCAGTATCCTGGTCTTCCAGAGCCCTCTGGTTGGGGTGGGATCATCTTAACTGGTCATTTCACTTTACTGTCTAGTGAGTTAACTTAATGGATTACAGGAACCTCACTGGTTGGGAAAACAGAATGGGTTTTGCTGCTACACAGTCTCACTTGTGCTGTTCAGTACCTGTTTTATGGGTGCCAGGTGGTTTGAAGGAAATGACTGCATAAGAGAAAGCGGGAAGGCAGTTTTTGTAATTACAATTGAAGAACTATTTGCATATTTCTTATCACTTTAAAAGTTTGTATGCAGCCTCTGAAGATGCTGAGTACCATTTGAAGCTTTGTTTAAATAAGCAAAGCAGGGTCCCTATTTATTTTTATTTAAGAATACTGAAGATCCCTGTTTCCCCCTGAAGTTTGACTAACTGCATTTCTGAAGTGTTACGATGATTTAGATGCTATTTAAAGATCAGCTCTTCTGTTTTCTAAACCAGTGAGGTTTGAGATGAAAGGATTGGCCAGAGTTTGTCTACCTCTGGGACAAAAACAAAACTAGAAAGTGCTAAGGAATGGATGCAGTTGCAAATACGACATTTTCCGAGTTTTCTTGTTTAGATTTTTTTAAGAGAAAATTCAACAATAACATGGCCAATTTATTACATAAAAAAGACTTGCTGTGTATAAATTATTCCTAAAGAAATTCCTGTGTTTATATTAAAATGAATCAGTAGATAAAAAAAAAATTCAAAATGTTTTTGTATATTCTGTTGTAAGAATTTATTCCTGTTATTGCGATATACTCGGGATTCTTTACATTATGAAAAGAAGAAACTTTGTCTATTTTGAATGGCTGAAGCTAAGGCTCCATTAGTTTCTCTTACTCTGCTTTTTTCTAGTAGTTTCAGTACTACCTGATTTAAGTTAAATAAAAGAATTCTGTATGCATTTGTCTGCTTTTGATTTTGTTGTTCTTCATTGCAAAGCAAGTGCAGCTTAGAAGACTCAAGACTTCTGCACTTTTGGCTGCATTTAGTTGAGCAACTCTGAAAACGATCTTCATAGAGGTCAGTACTGCCATTATGCTGTGTTGAAATCAGAAGTATTGTAATCCAATGACACTAACCTTTGGACCATTTTTCAACGGGACTTGATTCATTTGAATAAGGAAAGCATCTTTATTTATTTATTTGAAGGAAATCCTTTCATTTGCTGTTACAGCAGTGCATACATGAGGCATTCAGCCATCCAACACAAAGTTATCAGTTTTCTGCAAATGTTGTTAGAAAAATAGCGACAAGAAAACTAGCATTATCTTGGCATTTACAATTTCTCTGAGTCTTGTCATAAAAGTCTTGACTAAGGCACAGTGGTGGCCCAGAGCTTGTTCAGGTGTCTGTGCCATTAGGTTATCCTTGTCTCTTGTCCTTTTTACTGACACAACACTAGTCAGCAGTGCTTTCTTTTCCCTTAGAAAAATCCCGGGTGTCCACATGAAGATGCTGCTGTTCTGGTGATTGTTTTTGAAAAATATTTGCTGGTTTTATGTCATAATTGTCTGTCATGGTACAAGCAAAACTGTGTGCATTGACATTCCCTCTGTACTAAAGAGGACACACTGTAAACCTCTGTCTTGCCCAGCTGTAATAGAGCAGTGCTTCTGTATATAGCCAAGTCTGAGACATCGAGGAGCCTGGCTTGGCAGGGGAGAAGCTCAGAAGTGATCTGTCACTGTCTGATCCCAAGCTTTATAACTTGGGATCTCATTTGGTTCCTGTTTTGTAAGAAAGATAATGTGCCATGACATTCCACTGCACAGTGCTTCACTGATCGCCTTTCTTGGGACAAGTTAGCTTGTTGATTCAGATGTATAAATCCCTGAATAGCATGACCCGTTGTACTGAAAGACTGTTGTCTTTGTGCTGTGCTTTGTGGAAGGACAGCAGTATTTTCCTCTGAGACACGTGCTGAGAATTTGGGGAAATGGTGTTTTCAGGCAGTTGAAACTCAAACAGCATTACAGTGTCTGCCAGGTTCCAGCTTTTTTTGTATTAATCACCCAAGATCCGTAGTCTATTTTGTATGTGAAAGCCAGCACGTACAGCAGGTCTCAAAGAGATACAGAAACTGAAAAAAATCTTCAAATAACAGGATCTCTACCTGTGTTTTATTTTCCTCTCATATTTAAAGTTTATATATGGGCACCTTGCGTTAGACGAACCTGTGTCACTGCACTTGAACAGGGACTTGGGGAACTTTGTGGTATCAGTGCTGAATGTCCTTATGGATGTAAGAATGGATCTTGATTCAACAAATCTGTAGTAACATCTTTTGACAGTCGTTCTGCTTTGTTTTGTTTTGTTTTAATTAGATTTTTTTAAAAACCTGCTTCTAAAAGATTTTAGGAAATATGTAACCATTTTTAAGTCCTGTTTTTTTTGCACTTTCTTAAATCTGAAGCAATCTTAGTGTTACAGACTGTCACTTTTTTGTGGGTGTTTTTTTTTCACCTTATGACTTTTATAACAGAGATGGAAACAGTTGTTTAGTTTTTGTAAGGAGATTTCCCTGAAAATAACTTGGAATAAAATCTTTAAGGGCTTTAAATAATCATTAGATTTGCTATTTCTAAGAGATAAGAAATTCCATTTTAAGAAACCTCCCTTTTTTCTTACGTTCCATCTTACTCTCCCTGTTCCCCACACTGTTTTAACATTTCTAAGATAATCGTCTGTAATGCTTTTCCTAGAAGGTCTGCTGTTACCGACTTTGATAATGGAGGCACATGGATGAAAGCTGCTCTTCCACTGCCGTAATACAGGGAAGTGTAATAGGTGTAATCACAGATGTACCTGAAATATAATGAACAAAACATAAACAGAAACCTGAATTAAGGAACAGTAAACTTTGATTAAATTTAAATATTCGTTAAGTAGCCAAACCAGATCTGGTTCACAAAAATATTAAAAACGTATTTGCTTACTGAGTAAAGGAAATGCTGAAGAAACAGATATCTGATTGTTACTTTCTCAGATACTCAGAAGCAACTTAAAAAATAATAATAAAAATAAATAAATCATAAGACATGCATTCTTTTCTAGGTCTCTGTAAGCTAAGTCAGATGAGGAAGATAATGCAGCCCCACAGAACTATAACCATACCATTACAGCACATCAGTAAAGTTTGTTTATGTAGGTCGTACAGGCTCACCACTAACCTCTTTTTTGTTGTTGTTGTTGTTTATCACCTTAACTTTTTAGCTTGCAGATTTGTATCCTTAAAGCATAGGACGAGATCAGCTATGTATAAAAAAACGACTTACACTTTGTTTTGTTTTCCTTTTAACTGAGAAATCTTGAATCATACAGTGAGATCACAGATACTGTTCCAAAGGTACCTATAATTGCTCTGTTCTTCAGTGTGTGTATTTACATTTTATATCTCTCCCAATTGGGAAAAATAGATTAAAATCTCCTACTAGTCAGTTTTGCTTTTAGATTCTTAAAAGCACAGGTTTACTGGGGTTGCTAATCACAGTGTGCTATGTTGAAACTTGTTTCTTTTGCAATCCATGGAAAACTATCTACTGACTGTTGTTTTTCACAAAGGCTTCTCTACATAAAATTTAAATTTATCCTCATTTTATACTTGTGACACTTGGAAGTCTTTACTTCAAAGTGATTTTGGTTAGAGGAAAGTCATTGCAGAGACTCTTCAAGGTTAAATGAGCTGATTGAATTACTTCTGCTTTTACTTTGAGACCTCGATATGCAATGTTTACCTTCCCGCATCTCTGGAAAAGATCATATCAATTCCTTCCACTGAAATATTTTTCCAGATAGTCTTCATGTTAATTGTAGATTCAATCTTTTCCGGACCATCTAGCATGCAACAGCCACCTTCTGGGTGAAAACCACAAGCATCCATCTCTTCATAGCCTTTGTTCTTCCCACACTGCTCAAGGATGATGATTGCTTTGGCAGATGAAGCCAGCCCAACGTGAACAGTAAGCTGTATTTTCCCACCAGAGTGAATAACAGGAAATTAAAAATGAGACCTGTTTTTTGAAAACATGTAATGCAATAGTGCCAAGCATTATGTGAAATACTGTCTTCAAGGTGGGAAGTCTTGCTGTAGCTCATGCTTCAAGATAACTTTGATAAGAGGTTATAAATGAGAACAAAATTGTGGTTTTTTGTTTTTCTTTGTTGTTGTTGTGTCTAGTCAACTCCAGACTTCAAAGCTGAAATTTTTTTTTCTCCGTTTTTTTCCTACAATTTATGTAGGTAGATGTATTTTTCTTTGTTCTGCATGCAGTTATGCTGTTTACATGGCACAGGATTAAAGTGGCATGCTAATTAATTTGTGCTCCAAAGTTGTTTGGAACCTTCATCACCATTTTAACAGTCACAATCCAGAACTGCCTGATACACATTGTGCAATAATCTTTTGGAGCTCTTTTTAAAGATCTACTGAAAATATTATTTAGAAATGAAGGGGAAAATTACCCAACATTATAACTACTTACTATTGGGTGAAGAGTTGTCCATATCCTGAAGATTTGTTCCTTTGCTTTTTGGTAAACCACTGGTAGCTGCATGATACGAAGATCTATGTTTTTTCCAAGGCCTCTCTTGGACAGCTCCTATAGATATAAAAACAACCCAACAGCTATGATGGATTAGTAAGAACAGTGGATTTTTCGGTGTGATGTAGAAATCAGGCTGATTCAACTGAGAAGATTGATACAGAAAAGCAATGTATCACTGCTTAGCCCTGTTGTTCCTTGGTCTACAGCGAGACCCAGTTCTCATGACAGCTCTCCATTTTTATTTAAGGAAAGTCAACTGTACAAAAGAATTTCTTAATGTCACATCCATGTTGAGCCATGGTTATATCTTCCAAAGGGATGCTCAGCCTCCAGTGTGTGGTTTATGCAATCCTGATATGGACTGGCCCATGGGGAACCGTGAAATACAGAATTTCTCAGAAAAGATCCACATCTAGTAGGCTTTGATATAGGTAAGTTGTTCCTCCAAACTATATAACCTGTGCTTCTGGAGAGACACAACTGAGAGAGAATTCTCATTAGGTGTCGCTTGGATAACATTCTACCTGCTGTCTTGAACGTGCTTCTGAAAACCTTTGCTCAAAGTGATTGTCAGCACAAATAGCATGTTGAGATAGGAATTAATTTCTTTTTGGTCTGGAATATGTTTCCCCAGTGAAAGAAGGAAATGTTATTTGTTGGAATGTTACTTCTTTGTTATTAGTTGAAATTCTGCATGGGGCCTTTTCCCAAAGGAAACAAAAATTATGCCCAGATTGAGATAAAAGAAAAAAAGAAGAAAAAAAAAAAAAAAAAGGCATCCTTTAAAACAGGTTGGCTAGATGTTTGGAAGATGGTCTTGATAATAGTCAAGGATGAACATCATGTCAAGGTGATGCCTTGAAGTTATTTTGTCAGTGGAACAGGACTAATGAAGAAGCCATAAGCCTTTACAAAAAACGTAAACACTGCAGTGGCAGGATGCAGAAACAATACAACTGAGACAGAAAGCTTTGTCCCAGTAAAGCAAAATGATGGTTGAAAATCCCTGTTACATCTTGTAGACCACTACAAAAAAGTGTACAAATTTTCTGAGTTTCTATGGAGGGCATGGGCAAGAAGTCACCAGCAACAATATTTGATAGACTGAGAAACTTGTAACTTTTTCAATGTCATTGTTTCCTTAAGCTTTCCTTTCTTACTAAGGATATTTGCGTGCATGGGGCTGAGTTTACTGGGAAATTTGCCCTTCAACACTGGCTTCCTATATAAACTGTTCCAATTTTCTTGTCAGCGGAAACATTGATTAGCTGTGCTCAATAAACTATTTGACACAAGCAAGGAAACAATGCCTGCAGGGAAGTAAACACATTTAGAGAACACTGCCAGCCTTTTTTTCCTCTGGGCGCTGACAGTCTTTGAGAGGCCATTGCATCATCTTGCTTAAGAATGCTGTACTGTGTTTTAGCGTCCAAAAAAGAAAACCCCAGCTGGTTCACAATTAGCATTTTATTTTCTCAAACATTTTTAATTTTAACATTTAATGAGATTCTTCCTTTTTAACTATAGGACTTAAAGTACTTGGCTATCCACAACTTTAGTTTAGAATCAGAAGACCCAAAGCTGTTATAAGCTATTGTAAGCTGTTCTTTTCTTGTGCTGTCTGGATTGAGGTTCTCCTGTCATAGGAGAAATGCAGAAATACTTTTTGTGCGGGACAAAATCAGAAGCTGGGCAGTAGCCCAGGGTTGGGAATTTGTGTCAAAGGATGATAGTTGGTTCTGTCCTAAGAAATTATAGCACGTTGTCAATAATGTGTATTATTTTGTTGTTTAGGAATCCTAACCATGGACTTACACTCCATTACACCAGATGTTGAGCAAACAGAACAACGAAAAAAAAGGTTGTTCCTTGCCTCAGCCATAACCAAAATGATTTTTACATTTAATGTGAGAATCTGAAGATGAGAAGGAATGCTGAATCTCACATTGGTGAATTAATTCAGTAAACAGCCTGTCTGCTGTAGTTGAAACAGCAAAGGAAACATTGAGAGAGTATCAAAGCTTTGGATAATTTTTTTTTTTCTTTTCTGGTGGGAAAAGTGGTTCAAAAGAAAATGAAGTTGTTATTGTTGGAAAGTCTTTCTAAAAGGAAAATAGAATCCAGTATTATCGGTTGACAACCTGGAGTTGTTGGTGAGTTGTGATCATAACCACAGTTCACTGGAGTTCTGGCTCATGCCCATACATAGCCCTCTCCAAAGAGAAATGATCTGCACAGAGCAGTTGAGGCCAGAAGCAATGGCTGTGTGTTACAGTGAGTGTGACAAACAACCTAAACTTTTAGAAAACTCCAGAACATTTCACAGATCTTCTTTGAGTTTTCACAGTTTTGGGTTGCCAGGAAGTTGAGAGTGGGGAGGTAGGTTGCATGTGTTAATTTTGTGAACCTCATTCAGAAGGAGGTTGATGCAGTAAAAAAAAACAATTTTTTTTTTCTTTTAATCCTGCAGATATCTCCTTAAAGTGTTAGAGATGTAAGAAAGTTCCAGAACACAAATGAAAGAACTAAATAGCAACGTCTTAGTTTCACAGATGACGAAACTAAAGCAGAGAGGGAGAGAGACAGAGAGATTAAATGACAAATTTCCGAAGACCACATGGTCAGTGGCAGAATGAAAAACTGCGACCAGAGATCTGATCCTTGTCTCCTGATATCAAACGTAGTTCCCAGAAGCAGTTGGAAATGTGACCTGTTCTTTGCACTAACAGTTTAATTGCTATGAATGCTGTCACTCAACTTACACTTGTGCCCTATTAACTGGGGAATTCGACCTTGATGGTAGGTTGCTCTGATAGGTCACTTAGCTGCCAAGTGCCAGACATTGGTTTCTGGAGGAAACACAGAAAAGGAGTTGGATCAAGGGATATTAGGTGGGACCATTGGTCTGTAATATAGAATAAATGATTCAGGAGATCTGAGATTCTGAGGGTCCCATGTGGTTCTGAAGAACACATCATAATAACTCTGTGTGATCTGTCTGCAAACGTGGTGTTAACTCTTAGTGTTGTTTTCCTCTAGAGAGAATGTTCTGCATTTCAAGAGTTAAGAGGTGCTGGTGGAGCTTTCATGCATATATCACGAGGGTATTTCAGGTGAGTGCAGTTGTGAGAACCATGAAAAACTTAGTGAGACAGGTTTCCAAAAGAGAAACTGTCTTTCTAGTGCTAGACAACTATGTTGGGCCATGTGACAATGTCTGTAAAAGCGCTGAAGTTTTTCTCAAGAACTCTGAATTGACAGGTTTGCTGGTACTTTCTGACTCTTTTGATTATTCCTTTTCCTAAACACTCAAGGGGCACTTGCTGAGGAATGACAGATCCATAGAAGTGATGCTGATGGGTGCTTTGTGTCTTAGTTGTCTTGTACTGTGATTAGAACTTGGGTTCATGCAAACCCATGTTTGCATGCTCTGAGTATTTTAGTTTCATATTATAAAAGAGGAAATGCAAGACAGTGCACTGCTGCATAATATCAATAAGAAATCTAAGAACCCAGAACAGATGCTCTTTCTAAAGTAACAGTGATCTGTAAAGTCTTAATATTTATCATCTGATTCCTGGGGATGTCAGCTTTTCTGCTAACTATGAGGGATTACATAGTTAGTTTGTAAGAGAAACAACACCATGCTAATTTTTTGAGTGACTAGTAAGGGTATAAAAGGGATATTACTATTGTAACCAGATGTGTGTGCATTGGATTGATCTTTGATCCTTCTTGCAGCAAGAAATAAGCTTTAGGAAAATTGCTGATCCTATCAGCAAGCTGAAGAGTGAAAGAGCATCTTACAGTGAAGCTGGCAACAGTGATCTTAAGGAAGCAAATGCACACAGAAGTGAGGGCATTGCTCTTTGGCAAGGCCGCACTCCAAAAAGCATAGAGGGAAGGCTATGCTTTGAGAATTATAACCTGAGACTCCCAATACATGCACTTCTACGGGAATTGATATGTTTTGCATGTGAGGACTCTCCTGGGATGTGCTCTTACTTGAGATGATAAATGTCAGTGTTGCAGCTCTGCAGCATCTCTGAGACTATCATGGCTTTTGATAAGAGTGCAGTCCAGTTTGAGGTTGTAATTAGGATAGCTCTGGGTAATAGTATGCAACAATTAAGCCTGAGTAATCATGTTTAGTATGTAGATCTGGTGTGGCTGCTCAGTACTTTGAGTGCACTCTTGCATGATTGTCAGGAAAGAGACTCAGCAGGAGGGCTTTATATCACTTTAGTGATCCATGCAGTAATTCCAAGCCAAGTTAGGATTACTTTCAGATGTAAACTCTGCATTTTGCTGCCTTTAATATATGTGCGTAAGCTTCCTCGAGACCATTGGGCTCATATGAACAAGGCTAATGGAACAATACCATGAGATTGCTATTTAGTATCAAAAAGCCTATCGAAATTCCAAGTACTTCCATATTTGTAACAAATTTCCCTGAATTGTCTGGATTAGCCGCCTTTGCCAGGGAATAGGAAACCAAAGCAGCATGACCAGTGTGAATAAAAATTAATTCCACACAGAGGGTGTCACATCAGAGGGAAACAGATTTGTACTCTATACACAAGAACTGACATCTGTTTCATTATGGACTGCTGCAGTCCATGTTATATAACTTCCTGGCATAGCGAGTGCATGGCATTGTTACAGACGACTCATCAGTATGTTTTGGTGTTGGGCTGTTTTGCTTGCAGATAAATAACACGGTTTCACTGAGAGGTGGGTGATATTGCATCCAAAATTAGAGCCAATAGGAATCAGGAAATAATGAGCAAGAATATTGTCAACTGACAAATATTAGTGGTTTAAATCATCTCAAGTTGGAGCTGAGATAATTTATGGGTATTCTGTGATGACTGGGAAGTGGAAAGGTAAAACACAAGTGGTTTTTTTTTTCTTGTTAGCCTACAGGGATAACATCCCTCGTGATTTAGGGTAGATAGTAGATTTATTTTTCCAAACACCAGCTTGCACTTGGCATTCCTCGTCCAGCAAAGCTAGAAGCCTTGGTCTTTGGAAATATTTACTAGTTCCTTGTTTATTTATCATCTCTTGACTTGTCTGCACTTCTTTTCCAAGACAGATCCTCAGTAGCTGTCACCTAAAATTGTAATACAGTTATAGTCCTGTAGGGTCATAGTCTTTCTGTCACTACTAGCATTATCTTATAGCTGTCTTTTTCATTCCAATGTCCAGATCAATTGAAGTTAATTATTATGGGCTTATTTCACTTCCTCTAATAGACCATAATCCCCTCAGTTTGTTTTATATGTCTAACTTTCCATTTTACCAATATTATCTGTTGTCTTGCATATGCTACACCAAAATTCCAATTAGTTTTTACTACCTTGATTTTTCTCCAGCTAGTTTCAGATTTTGTTGCTAACCTTCTTTCTACTTAAGATTGATAAAAACTTGTGTGAAAGACCCTTTCACAATAACTCTGTTCATAAACACTTTATGAAAGTAATGGAACACAAGGAATGGCCATTGTCTGTGCTAGGAGATCTAGGGTCAAAGCTTAGACCTTAGGTGTAATTTGTATATAGACTCAGCAAATCTCTGTAGTTGTTCCTACTGATTAAGTATGCATATTATGACCTTTCACACTTTAGATTGAGCTACAGTATTAAAGTATCAAACTCGTAAATTATCACACTGTAGCATACAATGTCTTATCTACTAAGGTAGGGTATTTGTTTTGTAAGACATATTTAAATATAGAAGTTTATGTATAACTCTTAAGATATACACAATTTTAAAAAAAGAATAATTGTGTTCTGGGAAATAATTTATTTGTGGAAACTTTTGATATTGGCTACTATATGTAGACTCATGTATTATTATTTGAAAATAACTGTAACTGAAAAGTTTATGCTGAAAGCCAGGTATCCAAACAATGTTTTTATATAACCACCACCCAGCTAAATTTGTTCTAATGCACGTATTTAGGAAATAATCAGGAATATTCAAGACTCCATCTTAGACACACTGCAACTAGTGATAGAATCAAGGTGTCTGGAGTGGGGAGAAATCTGAATGATCTTGTTTTCAGTGTTAACTGTAGACTTCACTGTCTTTTGAAAGTGGAAAGCAAAGCTAAGATGTGAAAACATACTTAGAATAGACCTGCTTTCATTTTGTGTTCCTGAAGTAGGCTGTAATAGCTTCATAGGCTACATTTGTATAAGAAGGAAATCACCTCACGTAGATATGATAAAATGAATCATGGTCTGTTTATGGAAGGCAGAGATAACTTATGGCACATGCACTAACTACAGACAAGGAAAAAATGTCTTTCTGACTTTTTAAAAAAGTGTTTTGAAAAAAATCTTGCAAATCATGTTCACTTCTTCATTATTCTCTTCCCTCCGTGTCTGTTCCAAAAGACACAATTCTGTTTAGTAGGAGAAATAACTCTTGGAAGGAATGGTAAGCCCAGAAGCAGATTGTATTTGGATCTCCACAACATAAAACACCTCCCTCCTTTTTTTTTCATGCTTACCTTCACTGCTTCCCAGCTAGAATTAACCAGGTATTGTCTAAAGGGACCAAAACCTGAAAAGGAAAGAATGTGCTTTTAACTTATCCTTGCTCTGCAAGTTTAGATTAGCTGACAGCAGGTATGTAATTACATGTTTGTACTTCAATATTTTTTGTTACGGAGGTTGATTTTTTTTTTTAATATATTATTTATCCTCTGTAACATTTAAGGGAATAGCATTTTCTCAGATGTGCTGACATAGTAGCTAATCCTTCAATCCTTATGAGGTAAACTTAACTGAAGCTGCTAAATGTTCTGGAGCCAAAAGAGCCCCATTCATGTAAGAGAAGATTTTAGGAAAATATCGTTAGCCACAGAAATACTTCTATTAAATTAAATTGACCGGTGTCAACAATCCCAGGTCACTGTCATTGTACCTTTCTTACTGTTGAGAGCTCAGGAAGATGAAAGAGTAAAATTTGATTTCATTTAGTTTTATGATCTCTTTTGTGAGATACTTTTTTATTTAACAAAAAGACAAAAATTGTTTCGATTTGGAGGGGTGTTTTGTCATCTAAAAGTTTGATGGAAAGCTCCCACTGCCTTTATTAATCTCAGTTACTGCTCTCAGTCCAGTGTGTTGGAAAGTGTTAGACACTGTGCAGCAGGAAAACTGGTCTGTGAAATGGTTTTAATGCTTTACACTTTAAATATTTAAAAATCCACAAATGGACAAATAAATACTGGCAGCGCATGGTTACTTTTTTGCAAATTGAAAGTTACTTGTATATGGGGATAGTTGAGATTAAATGCAAGTTTATAACAGCTTTAATAATTAATGGTGTATTTCAAGCATTTCTTAATTTCTTGATACTTATTTAATAATCTTTTCTCTTTAATATGATGAAAAGCCAGGTAGTTGTATTGTTGCAATGATTTGCCTGGTACAGGGGAAGCAGCACACATTTCACATTGATAGTGAAGAAAAAAAATCTCTCTGACTAGACTTACAGAGTGAAATTAGGGAGACACTCACCCCATTTTGAAGCCGTAGTTGTTGTGCATGTTGGAGTACCTGCATGCGTGCAGAGTTACAATAAAGCTATTAAATAATTTGGAGTTAAATTCATGCATCTCAGCTGTGGCTATAAGAATCCACTGCTTGGGATAAATTGTTCTATGTAACAAAATAAATGTAGGAGAGTGTTGCAGGAAATTCAGTACTGTAAAAACTTCAAGAGCTAATGGGTTGAATACTATTAGGCAATATATAATAAACTGGGCTCACTGCCAGCAGGTTTATATTATGAGCAGGTGAGAATGTGACAGAGGCATGCTGTGATAATCTCCATAATAGCTTGAAGATGCACCTGTGTCTCTAATGGGACACACTAGACTAAAAGCATTTGAACAAGTATATTTCTGTACCTAAATGGCGATGTAAGGGGAGGAAAAAACCTAACAAGGTGCTAAGAAGTGTGCCCATCAAGGGTATGTCTATAAATATCATAGGAGAGAACCAGGTTGTCAGCCTTTTAAGAGGTTAGCAAATACCTCTTGCTCTCTCTTGCACTCCCATTCATTTCAACTGCAGGTTTTTGGAGCAAGCCAAACTAGTTCTGCTCATCTTGGAGCTATTAAAAAAAAAAAAAGAAGTGTTTAATTGAAAACAGCAAGATGCAAATCTCTTTGATGTATCTTCAACCTCATTCCTATGTCCTCAGTTGACCTACAGTGGAAAATTATCCTGCAACTCACATGTCAAGAAATGTGTAACGATTGCCTTTGGATGAGCCAGTGGCAATGAGAGGAATAGCGAGTAGCAGCGTTCCTTAGAACTTTAACCTTTTAAAGCTAGTAGTCTCTAGCTGGTGGCTCTGCCACTGTAAATCAGCAACAGCTACAGCCAGCAAGAAAAAGAACAAATTCTGTCCTTTATGCTGCACATTCACACACATTCTTTTGATATATTTAAAGTTAATGGTCTAGTTCAGCAGTGATGAGGCAGCATCTACTGTTTAAATTTCTCTTACCTTGCCACGACACTGAGACCCTGGAACTTGCCATGTGTGGTTCTAATTCTGGACACTGACTACGTGACACTGTGATGCAACCTGGTTTTGCTGCTTCAGAGCTCCTTTTGGGTAAGCTTTATCTAATACTAGGCTGCACTGCCTTGAGCTACGTGGTTTGGATCAGAGAGAATGTCAACAAAGATTAAAACATGGAGAGAATGAACAACAAACCAAACTGGATGGCAGTAAAGAGGGCATGCTGCAGTTTGTTTCCGCTGACATGTATCTTAAGAAGGCAGAGCAGTAAGTTATTTTCCATTTGGAATTGTAAGTATGACCGTTTGCTACTGTTTTTCCCTCCAGGGAACTGTTTATGACAGAGATCAAGCATGTATTCATACCATCTCTAGCTAAAAGGAGAAATAAAAAATAAAAATCTTACCAGTTACAACCACAATGTTGGAATTTGAATCCATGCTCCAAAAGGTGAAATCTTGTCGACTTGCAGTTCCAAACAGTACTATCAGCATTCATGCATCTGTGGCAAACTTCCTAATCTGGGGCATCTATTTTTTGATTCAAACCATTCTGAAGCATGCAGATTTCTATTGGATGAAGAAAATGTTTTCATAAAGCTGAGATGGGTTAGGATTCACACTAGAGGAATGATTTCTGTTCCTCATAACTTTCAAAACAAGCTGTTACACCTCCATTTTAAAGGCAGAAGGCTACCTCAAATGGGGCATACGATAACAGCATTTTGGGAAGAACAGAAAGGGCTTCAAGAAACTTTTTGCAAAATGTCCAGCAATAAAATATCCAGCAATATTTAGCATCAGAAAACTGTTTATAGACAAGTAAGCAAAACTAATTGGGTCTCTTTTAGTGTATGTCTGTGGATATTGTATTCTTATCACTGTTGTGATTCTCTTTAATCATGAAGAACTACTGAGGTAAAAACACATACCTGTCCATTTCCACTCTGTTCAGTGTTAGGGTTTTTCTTATTATCTATAAATACATAGAGGTGACTTTCCTGTTCTTCCTCACAGCACTTATCTAATTTACTCATCTTCAGCTTTATCTTATATTATTTATTGAACTCTCCAAGCTCCTTACACTTTAAAAATAAACATTAACGGGAAAATATGTATTTGCTAAAGCAAAATATTTACTTGGTACGACTGAATGGACAACACATTGCAAAACTTCAGTCCAAATTAAAATGTCAAAGGAAATCTTGAAGCAGTAAGTTTAATAGTTGGTCTGTCTTCATTAAACTGAAGTGCAAGAACCAATAAGGGGCCTGAAAGCAAAGCATATGCACATTGTCACTGCCCAAAACAAAAGCATATGAAAGTCCTCTTGGGAATTAGAACTATGTGGGCAGAGGGTTTTGCTGAGTCTTGTTTTGAGTAGGAAGTATGTGCATGTGTGTGAGAGGAAAAATAAACTAAGAATAGAAAGTTGCTGTATATTCTCAAGAGAGATGGTAATTATGAGATGTAAGAGAGAAAATCCCTGAAGAACTCTCCTGGATTGGCTGGTGGCCGAGCAATGTTTGGAGTTACGAGCTGTTTCTGTCCTTTGAATCCTCCTAAACTGAGAGAGTGTAATTTGTGGATTCTTTTGGATAAAACGACACTGATTCTACCACCCATGTCTCTCCCTGGCTAATAAAGCTTGCAGAACTGACTTTTACTAGCCATTGAGGCTGAAGGAGCAGCTAATAAAGCAAACGGGAAACTGCAGCTTTAAATAAGGTAAAATTTACCACTGCCATCAGTGAATTGCATTTACAATTCCACTTTCTTTTTCTTTCCTAGGTCAATCAAGATTCTTACCAATTAATTTTTCAGTGTAACACCTACTTTGTAAAACTCAACCTGTGATACCAAACAGCATGATGACATATGGGTCAGTTCATAGTTATTTCAGATTTGTGCTTAAAAGGTATCAGTTAATTAGAAAAACAAAAAAAATAGCAAAACAAAAACCAATCAACTAAAAAGTGAAGCCTGCCTTCTTTGGGAAGGCCTAATGAACAATGCACATGCAAGGAAGAAAGCAAAATTTAAGGCTTACTGTTGTTTATATCAGCTTCCTGAATAAGAAATGATGAACGTTTTTGTTTAAGACATTATAGCAGCTTTACAGATCAATATGAAGGACTGTGCTGTGAAATACTGGGTGATTATCTATTCTTGCACAGTGCCAAATCTGAAACAACTGAAGTCAAAGCCACTCCTGAAACTTCTGAGTAAGTATGATTGCAGCTTTAATCTTAGACTTGCATATATTTATGTTTGTAGCATATGGGTATTTGAGGTGTGTGCATGTTTGTTTCCTCATCCTCAATTAAGAAAACAAGCCCTGGATATTTGAGAACAAATCACAGACACGGCTGACTCAGCTCAATACTGGTTGCTTTTTTTTCCAGCTGTATACAAATATGATTGACGTGGTGTTCATCTTGAAGTAAAGAAGAAATGGAAACAACTCAACTATGAAAATGCTGGTTATCACTCTTAGATGGAATACAGTGTCACAAAAAAAGAGGAGACAAACATTTTGGTGTAAAGCTTGCTGTTCTCTATGGGTCAGTGCCCATGAAGAAGAAACAAACTCAGTAGAAATGAGAAATGGAAAAATGTTATAGCAATTTCACTCACTTTTTTTTTTTTTTTTTTTTTGACAGTGTTGCCTTGTTTATGGAAGTTCTGCAATTTATACTATTGGTGCATGCCTTGTGCTTAGCACCAATGGAAAACTGAAATTGTATATAATTTTAATGTAGCCAACTGGTTGGGTGGCTGCTATCGTTTCAGTTGTGCTGTTCTTGTAATATTAGCCATGAAGATGATCAGGGGACTGGAGCACCTCCCTATGAGGACAGGCTGAGGGAGCTGGGCTTGTTCAGCCTGGAGAAAAGAAGGCTGCAGGGTGACCTCAGTGCAGCATTTCAATATATAAAGGGAGCCTACAGCAGGGAGGGGAATCAACTCTTTGAAAGGGTAAATAACTGCAGGACAAGGGGAAATGGTTTGAAGTTGAGGGAGGGGAGATT